ATCCAGCACTCCGCACGGAAGTTGGCCAGTGCCCAATGCATGTTCATAAGAAAATGAAGGAGTCAGTGGTCCTGGGAGAAGGGGCAGGTTAAGTGGATTCAGCCTGATCCCACGTGTGGTAAACAGATGAAGAGAATGTGATGGCCCAGGAAACATGGGGTACAGGGAGTCCCCAGAAGATGGACTCCAGGGACACCGAGGTGGTTCATTCGATTAAGCACCCAACTCTTGATTTTGGCTCAGGTCATGATCTCACTGTTCGTGGGTTCAAACCCTGTGTCAGGCTCTGCACTGACAGCACAGAGCCTGCTTGGGATTCTCTCTCTCCCTCTCTCTGCCCCTCTCCCACTTCTGCACATGCTCTCTGTCTCTCGAAATAAATTAATAAGCAAAGCAAAAAAATACCTTTATATAAAAAAAAAAAAGATGGACTCCAGCAAGCACAAGGATGGGGCCCCAATTTGATCTCCTAAGACAGGCTGCCCCAAAGTAGACAAAACCCAGCCTTGCCTCTACATGGATCTCACACACACCTGCTCTTCTTCCCAGATCTGCATTATCAACCCTATCCCTGGAATTGGGCTAGTGCTGGGGACGCAGCAATGAGGAACGGCAGAGCTAGTTTGTGTCCTCATGTCACATAGAGCCTCGGTGGGGGAACTGGGAGGAATCAAGTAAATGGATATCACCAAATATGCCAGAGTCTCTGAAGTGCCCTCAGTACAGATTTATGGAGCAGGGTTGGCTTGGAGAGGCAGTCATGGTTCCCTCGCCAAGGTGGTGACATTTTAGGAATGGAAAAGGGATGATGGTGGTGACATTTTAGGAATAGCTGAAGGGTCCCCAAAGCCAGACACCTCAGTGCCAACCTTGATTCATTTCTCCATCACTCCCATCTCTTTCTAGAGGAAAAGAGTTCAAGGTTAGGCTCTGGGTGGACCCATGAGTCTTGAAGAGAGGCTTTCAGCACCTTGGAGAGTGCACATGGGGAGATTGGCGGGGGTGGTGTGGGGGCAGGAAGGGGGGTGTTGGTGTTCATCTGTTTCTTCCCGGCTGGGGTGGGCTGCTGTGGGGTCAGAAACACCAATCCCAGCTACTTGTCCACCGTCATCAATTCCTTTACCAGCTTCAGAGCGCTTGGACAAGTTACATCACCTGTAAGTGCCCCCCCCTTCCCCTATGACACATTTGTGGTGGCCCTGGCATTCTTGGCTTTAAAAGGCCCTTCCAACTCAATGAATCCATTCCAGACCAGAGGATGCGATTGCACACAATTCAGCAGAGCTAAGAGCTGATCCCCTGGGATCTAGGTGCCTTGAGGGAGTTCGTGACAACGATTTTCTGCTGAATGATGGAGAAGTTAGGACTGAAGAGATAGGACATCAAATATATTCATGTCCATCTGGGCCAAATACTCGGCTAAGCCTGGGAGCTTCCAAGGGAATTTAAAACACAGTACTTGCTGCTGTTTTAAACACTCTGCTGAGTGGCACCTTGGACAGATCTCTTCCCTCCATGGGGCCTTGGCTCCCCCATCTGTGAAGAGAGGTGGTTGAACCCAGCCCCCCTCTAGCACTGGTATTTTGCTATTTCCACATCTGTCTGAAGTCAGATAATGAAGGACTTCTAGCAAAGGGGCCTGCTGGGCCTGCTGACCCCTTTGTAACATACATTCATTGCAGGCTCAGAGAAGAGAAGGCACTTGTCAAAAGTCATGCAGCTTGAAGGGAAAAAAAAGCAGATACAGCTTGTAAGCAGGGGAGCCTGGATTTGGATTTAAAAAAATATTTATTTGGAGAGAGAGAGAGAGTATACATCAAGTGGGGGAGGGATGGAGAGAGGGGAGAGAGAGAATCTCAAGCAGGCTCCACGCTCAGTGCAAAGCCTGATGTGGAGCTCAGTCTCACAGCCGTGAGATCGTGACCTGAGCTAAAATCAAGGGTCGGGTGCTCAACTGACTGAGCCATCCAGTCGCCCGATGGATTTGAACCTTTGACTGCCAGACCGCAAGTATATTTTTCCCCCTAAGCCTGGGTCCAAAAAAGGAGAGACTCACCAAAGAGCCTCTCTGAATGGACAGACTCTCAGAATAGGAAGGGCAGGCAAAGCTCTTTCTCCGAGCTTAAGAATCACTTCATCCTTCTCCTGCATGGTTTCTTCCTTTGTTATAAAAAATCAGTCGAGGACAAACTCTGTGCCTGGCCAGGTGCTGGGAGCCAAAGACTCCAGGGTGAAGGTAGCCCCGGTCCCCGGTCAGCTGGGACAACCTCATTAACACAGAGTGACAAGCCCAGGAAGGGAGGAGAGATCTGCAGCGTGTTGTGGGGGTCACAGCGGAGCGAGCGAGGTCTGTGCCTGTCAGGTCGTGGTCATGGGATCCTTCCAGGGGGGAGCCTTTGAGAGACAAGCTGGGCACTCGGTAGCCAGAGACCAACAGGGAAGGGCCCCGGGGCCAAGGGACCAGAATGTGCAAAGCCACGGTGCAGAGTCCTGGGACAGAGATACAGGTGGGGAAACAGAGGTCAGAAATGGCCTCCTATGCACGGGGCCTGAGTCCAGCCTGAGAGATGCTGGACTTTTGTGGTTTTGAAAGCCTCCGTTGTCATTATCTAAAGCCAGGAGCTTTTATTGCGAAATTCTGATTTTTCATGGTCTCTAAACTTTTTGGAAAAGTTGAGCCCCCCACCCCCTCATTCTCTATGGCAACAGTCGGCCGGAGCTGAAGAAGGGCTCCTTCTGGCTGTTTCACCCATTTGTGTCATCTGATTGGACCGCGTAGACATTGTGAGGTGGGATTCTCCAATCTACAGCATAAGGTGCTTTCCCTACCCCCCACCCGCCAGTGGCTGATGATTAGCCCAAAAGTAAAAGGACTGAGAGAAGGGAAGAGAAGGTCGTGGTGGTCTGGTGTTGGGGGGAGGGGATCTCCTCAGGCATGGGGAGGCCAGAGCCCCCTGCCCTCCACTGTAAATGACTCTGGGCCCCCAGCCCCTCCGGGGAGGCTGAAGAGGAAAGGAGGGCCACAGTCCTCAGTGATCTGGCCTCTGGATCCAGGGGACAAGGAGCCTGATTTTAACTCAAGAAAGGATAGGGATCATGGCCTTTCTTTTCTTCAGAACGCACGATCACTTCCTCTCTGTTCCAACAAATTCTCCAGGGTTCTGCCTGTTGGCAACGGTAAGAGCCGCCACGATCACTTTTGAATATTCATTTAGAAAAACAATCAAACCTTTCGGCACATCAAATATTTGCTTCTAGATTTGAAAAAAAAAATCCAAACACCTATAATCTTGGCAGCATTCGCTTCCAAAGAATGCAACTATTTCGGTGACTGGGGCCAAAACAAATGTTTTTCCTGAGGCCAAACGGTTCCAGAATGTTTGCCAAATGTTTCACACCCTTTTTAAAATACAGTAAAATTAGCAAAGCAGTAGCATTAAAGAATATTAAAAACAAAGAGTCAAAGCAAAAAAAAAAAAAAATAAAGGCCCCACAACCCCCCACCCCCACCCCCTAATGGGCACAGCTATCCCCACATTTGCCTGTTGCCTCCTGGCCTCTGTCATGAGGAAGACTCTCCCAATCGAGCTGCTTTGGCGGTACCGGAAGGGTAATGAGCTGCCAGTCTTTAGAGGTGTGCAAGCAGGAGCTTGGCTTCGGCAGGAATTCCCACCTCAGGGGGGTTCGCGACCAAGGGCCTGTCCGCCCCTGAAGGATGACAAGACCATCTGAGCATCCGTGAGCGCTCCAAGTGGGACAGAACACGGAGCAAATGTCTTTGATGCAGAAGTTTGATTCCATCCGGCCCTACCGTAGCCGTGAATGGTGAGACAGCTGCTTATCCTTGCTGAGCCTCAGTTCCCTCCTCTGTAAAATGGGTGGTAGCCACCTCACAGGCTTGTGAGGCTGGAATCGAGTAGCGAAGAGCTGAACGCTCGGTCGCTGTTGGTTTTCTCTGCGGCCCGTCCACCGAGGTGGTCTCTCCCTCCGTTTTCCTCTCTGGCTGTCATGGTTCTCAGCTCACCGCCTGGTGGGGGCAAAGCCGCCGAGTGCTGCTTTGGCGTGGGTGCTCCGAAGTGAGCGAAACACCCGAGGGTCCCTGTAGGAGGGGGACGCAGCTGGACCCGGAGGGGGGGGTGTCGGTGCACAGTAGGTACAAGGACATCTTAGCAGGCAGTGGGGCGGGGACGGGGATGAGCCTGGCGCATTGGAAGACCTTTGGGAGGCTCTTGAGTGAAGGCAGGGGCGAGTGTCCGGGCATCCAGGGAAACCCAGGAGCTCGTCCCAGCCCTTCTGCTGTCCTGGGCCCCAGGGGGCAGTGGGGGGGGAGGGGGGGGTCTCTGCCAGCCGCCTGGCCCAGGAAGCTGCTCACAGTCGTGGCCCCGCCCTCAGCGCGGGACTCATGGACTCTTGTTCTCCTAACCCTCCCACACGGTGTAGCTCAGGGAGGCCTGATGGGCCGGGGGACACATGGGTCGGTGCAGAGGTGGTTACAGGATGGCTGGGCAAGTGGGGGGCAGGGGTGGGGGGTGGAGCATTGGCGGATGGGTGCATGGTGGCGAGTTAGCGGATGCAGTGGCAGGCAGGGAGGCGGCCGAGCGGGCAGGTGAGGTGCAGGGAGGGTGAGCGGGAGCACGTGAGGTCGTCTCCAGCTGCAGGTGGACGCGGACGCAGGCAGCAGGGCTGCTGGGTGTGTCATTGTGACGGGGAGCCGGTGTGTTGACGGGTAGGGGAGGACTGAGGGTGGGTTGTGGGTGGGGAGAGTGTGAGAGGAGGGTGCTGGCAGTGGGTGGTGGCAGATGCACGTCTAGGCGGGCAGGTGGTGGGTGGCTGGGGTGTGCGGGCGGGCGGATGGTGCGCTGGTGAGGAGGCGCATGTGGGTGGCTGGCTGGGCGGGCGGCAGTGTGAGAGGGCAGGTGCGGGGCTGGCGAGGACGGTGGGCAGCGGGCGTGGGCGCGGAGGGAGGCGCCATCCGCACTGACCACCCCATCTCTCGGCAGGACACCACCCGCACATGGGAGATTCCTGGCCACGGAGCTCCACGCACGAGATGCCAGAGCTGAACCGTCAGTGCTGGGTCCTGGGGCACTGGGTGTGACCGAGACCCAGCCTGGCTCCCAGACCTCAGGCTGTCGTCGGAACCGGCCCCCTGCCAGAGGACCACTGGCCCGGCGCTCCTGGAGACCTGGCCCGTGTGCTGTGAACTCTGCCAGCCTGTGTGGGAGACGCAGGCCTACCCTTCCCGCCGCTGTCTGGGACTCAGGGCCCTGGAAGTCGAGCCGGGGTGGCCCCAGGGAATGCGCAGGGCCGCACACGGCAACTTTGGGACAGCAGCTCCTGACTCTTGCTGCCGTCACAGGCGGCGCCCTGTTTGGTGCAGCTGGGGTGCCAGGAAAGTCAAGGTCATCGGCTCTGCAGCTGGGATGCCAGGAAAGTCAAGGTCATCATCGGCCACTGAGAGCCGGCCAGGAAGTTCAGGAGGTGCTGGGCGATGGGAAGCCCCGCACGAGGCAGGGAGCGGGTGGGGCCTCCTGGCACTGGGTCCGCAGGGGGGTCGCACAGCAGGCACATGGCAGGGCCACAATAAATGCTTGTTGAACCTGTTTCCTTGCTGTGTGTGGAGGCCAGTTGCTCTCTGGGCTGTGGCTGCCCCCCCCCGCCCCCAGGGCCCCACGCTAGCGGGTCCTCAAGGAACCCGAAGGTGAGGTAGCCTGAGTGTGCTGGGGTCAGGGCCAGACACTGAGGTTTGGGAAGGGGGGAGCCCAAAGCGGAGGCTGGGTCTAGGGGGTTGGGTCAGGGTGGATTCCGGGGGGGGGCGAGGTGGGGGGGTCAGGCAGGTAGGAAATTTGGGAGACAGGCCCTCAAGTCCAGGCCCTAAGCTGCCCTGACCCCATGGGGACCCCTTACCCTGTCTAGACTACCTTTACATCAAGTCCTAGGGCTCAGATGCCTAAGAAAACATCCCTATTATAAAGATGAGGGAACTTAGGGTCACAGAGATGAAGTAACTTGCCCAAGACCACAGAGCTAACAAATGGCAAAATTGGGGTCTGAACCAGAGCCTCATCCCTTCTCAGAAGGATTTCTAGAGCTTTCCCCCAAGTAGAGAATGTTCTGCACTCTTCCATCCACCCATCATTCATTCATCATTCATCTACTATCTGTCATCCATCCATCATCCACCCATCCATCCATCCATCCATCCATCCATCCATCATCCATCATCTGTCCATCCTTCTGTCTATCCATCCATCCATCCATCCATCCATCCATCCATCCATCCATCATCCATCTATCAGTTGTCATCCTTCCTTGCATCAAACATTCATCCATCTTCCTTTCGTGTAGGACCCATCCTCATTATTTAACCATCCTTGTATCCATCAATCCAATGATACAGTTCATTGTGCCCCTCCAATGTGTCAAGCACTGCAGGGGCACCTGAGATAGGATATTGAGCCACCCAGACAGGGTGTCTGGCCTCACAGGTGGGTACGACAGATAACTAGACAGATGGTTATTGTATGGGGATGCCAAGGGGCCCGGCTCTGGGGCCAGGCAGCCTGAGTTTTAAAAAAAATTTTTTTTAATGTTTATTTTATTTTTGAGAGAGAGACCGAGCACAAGTGGGAAAGGGGCAGAGAGAGAGGGAGACCCAGAATCTGAAACAGGCTCCAGGCTCTGAGCTGTCAGCACAGAGCCTGATGAGGGGCTCGAACTCATAACGGCAAGATCATGACCTAGGTTGAAGTCAGACACTTAACCAACTGAGTCCCCCTGGCGCCCCGAGGCAGCCTGGGTTTAGATTCCAGCTCCTTCACTTGAAACCTTAAACAAGTGACCTAACCTCTCTGTGCCTCCTCCCCATGGGCACATGGGGATAATCATTATACCTACCTCTTACAGCTGGCTGTCCTGAGGGTTAAATGAGCTAATATACGTGACGCGCTTAGAACAGAGCCAGGCATATTAGTGAGTGCTGTTAGTGTTTGCTCTTATCTTGCTGAGGGAAAGTCAGGGGCTGTAGGACCCCCAAAGGCAGCACCTGCTGGGAGAGGGAGGGGGAGGGGGAGGCCAGGAGGGCTCCTTTGGGAAAAAGAAGGCCGTCTAGATGTCAGGTAGGCAAGAGCATGGAGAGGAAGAAAGTTGGAATGTCATAGGAACTTTACAACAGCCTAGACGGCAGGTGTGGAGAGAAGGGAGAGCCACGGGAGCTGGGGGGGGGGGGGGGGGGGGGGGGGGGGGGGNGGGGGGGGGGGGGGGGGGGGGGGGGGGGGGGGGGGGGGGGGGGGGGGGGGGGGGGGGAGGTGAAGAGGACAGGGGAGCCAAGCCAGAGAGACACAGGGCCTCCTTAGGAAGCCGGGACTTCATCCTGGGGTGCACCCAGCTGTGAATTCTCAGTGGGTCTCTGCTGCTGCCCTGGGCAGAGGGCAGATGCAGAAGGGACCGCACCCCACCTTATCCTACGATGCTCGAAGGGAGAGATGAGGGTGGTCTGTCTTGCACAGTGGCCCAGGGGATGGGACCATGAGGGCAGATTCAGGAGCTAGTCAGGAGGGAAAAGTCAACAGACTGCTGTGCGAGGAAAGGAAGGTTAGCAAAACTCTCCGATTTGGGGTTTGGGTCAGGGGCAAGTTCAGGTTAACTTGAGTCTCAGGTGCCCGGGGGACACCCACGTAGAGGCGCATGCTCATTCGTTCGTGCGTGCTTTGACTAATCACGTGAGCGATTCATTTATCCATTTTCCATTCATTTGGCAAATATTGCAGACCTACTGTGTGAGGCTCTCAGGAGACGGCTCTGGGAGGGAGACTGGGGTCCACTTACAAAGGTCTTGAACGTCAGGGCAAGGAGTTTGGGCTTTGGCCTCTGGGCAAGAAGAAACCACTGCAGATGTGGGTCTGGGCCCCCAGGGCTGCTGGCATCTTGGGACCCTTTCTTCTCACCCGGGGTCCTTCTGTAATTGGCAGCTGGACCACAGAAGCCCAGGAGATGATTTTAATTGACACGTGGGCAAAATTGTAATCTATTTTAATAGTTGTGTTCATGTAAATGTGTATTAGGAAAAAAATGTGTAATGGGCACATCGGTGTCACGATTTCACAGACGCTGTTGCTTAGGATGAAACCAAAACAGGCATTTAAGTAAAAAAGACAAAGAGTTGACTTGGAGAAAAATACTTAATAAATAATCGTGCAAGTAGTTTGTGATGATGATGTGCGGACGGCCCAAGCGAAGGCCTTCACGGGGCCACTCTGACTTCACGTCCTCCCGTCTGTCTGGGCACCTGCTGGGCAGGAGGGGAGAGCTAGCTGTCTTTCAGGCCCACGGAGCCTGCAGCAAGAAGGCTGCTGGTTGGATACAAGGAAGCACTTCCAGGCAGGCCAGATGCGTAGTCCCAATGGGTTCCCTACCGAGAGTTACTGGGGGGGTGGTGTTCACACAGGGAACAAATGCCACCTTCTGCCTGAATCGGAGGGGGTGGGGGGAGGGAGGACCACCAGACTGGAAGGTGCCCGGATGAGCACATAGAGGTCTGGCCTGGGTGCCTGCAGCCCTGTATCCATGCAACCTGAGCTCGTGTGGACACACCGACCCCAACATCGCACGACCTTGAGTTAGCGCTTTGTATGTGTACCCGTGTTAGGTGTGTTTGCTCGGCACCTTCCCCGGCCCTGAGGCGCGTGCTCTGGCCCCTGACCTGTGTCCACACATGCTCAGTGCCCTGCAACGGGGCTCTGCCTTCTCGTCTGCCATCCCCCCCCCGCCACTCCCCAGGGGCAGAGGGGCCTGGCTGAGGGCTAACAGGCAGGCCCAGGCCTCAGGGAGTCGCCAGGCTGTCGTCCCGCTTTGGCTGGTGGCCGTGATGAGCAGTTACCCCCACCGCCTTCACGAAGCCAGCCGTTCCCGGCCACTCGCTTGTCTCCCTCTGGTAATGGAGAGGTCGGCTTCGTTCATGGGCGTTCGTTCCCAGCAGCCAGGCCTGAGGACAAGCCGTGCCAGGAGGCTCATTCCCTTGGAGGAATCAAGGACCAGAAAGTACCAGGGGCCGTGGAGTTAGTTCAAGTCCTGAGACTGCCCCTGACCGCGGGGGGCCCCCTTCATCCAGAAACTGCTTCCTGAGCGGCCTGGGTGTGCCAGGCAGGGCCACACCCTGGGGCTGCCACGGTGAGTCCCGAAGAGCAACTGTCCACCCTCGTGGATTTACCTCCCAGTGAGGAGACAGAGAACGACTCAAAGAATTGTAACAACGAAAACAGCACTGCCGAGTGGGAGGAATGCTGTGGGAGCACCCCCAGGGAAGGCCTGTGTTATGCCAGAGCCACGAGGGTGGGCCTCTCGGGAAGGGCCATTGCAGCAGGGACCAAAGGAAGCCGCCAGCGAGTTTGGGCAGAAGCCACGGCATATGCAAAGGCTCTGGGGTTGAGAGGAATGTTGGGTGCAGCAAGATGACAGGACATGGTGTTGAAGCTCAGGGTGAGGGCATTCGATCTGCTGCTAAGCAGTTGGTCGTCGGGGGTCAGAGCCTTCGGGGCCTGGGGGTCATGGCACAAAGTGTGCCCTTCACCTGGACGCCACAGGGAGTCGCCGGCAGGAGGCTTTTTAGAGGAGGACTCGGTCAGCTCAGCCTTTGGGCAGGTTCCTCGTGGTTGTGTGTGGGGAAGGCCTGGGAGGTGGCGTGCAAGGCAGGGGCCAGGTGACCAGAGAGGGGACTGCAGCAGGGGCTGGCAGGCGATGGTGGGGGCTTAGGCCGCGGTGGCACTGGGGACGAGGTAAGTAGCCACAGGGTGGCCTGGGAGGGGTGAGGGCATGAGGGACGCCTGGGCCAGGCTGGCTTTTCTCTGAGGCTCCCGTTAGGGGTTTGACGCTGTGCAGGCAGGGATGCTGCGGGCCACACGGGGCAGCGGTGGGAATCAGGAACAGGTGTCCCCTGAGGGGATGAAGTAGAAAAGCTCCTGACCCCAAACCACAGGAGGCGTGGCCCAGGGCACACCGCTTGGGGGGGTAGGGGGTTGGAGTTTAGCTCCACTCACCTGTCACTCAAGGGCTGTGGGCAGTGAACAAACCGCACCACCGCACCAGGACGAACCCGCCGCAGGACTGAGGACACACTCAGCCCAGCCGGGGACCATCAGTCATGAGGAAAAACCAATCTCCTCCATGTGGGGATTTACTGCATAGACAGACAGGAAATCCCGGCGCGGGACCTCTGGCCTGTCGCCAGCCCAGCGCAGCCCGCCAGAGCTGCGTAATTGCTTTTTGGGCCACATTTCATCGTGGACCGACACCGTCTGAGCCTCTGCCTTCGGGGAGGCCGGTGGCTGGGCCCATGCCAGGGGCCTGGCCGGGGAGCGGGCGGGGTCCCGGGACTCCGTGGGGAGCAGGAAGGGGCTCCGGCTCAGGGGCCATGGCACCACACCAGGCCCCTCAGGCTGAGGCTGGGAGGTCGCCCCGAAGGTCAAAGGATGGGAGGGTCAGGGGGAAGGTGGTGCTGGGTCACCGTGATGAGGAGCCTGGGTCAGGTGCGGGGTGGCCTTGGAGTCCATCTCAGTTCTAAGGACACTCTTGCGGGCCTGGCCCCAAGCCGGCAGGGACAGCTTTGTGGTAACTTCTGCCCAGTGCTGATGCGCAGCGCGGGGACCAGGATGCTCTCCTACTGGGGCTGTGGGTGGGGACTGCCACTCCGGTACGCACAGGTCACCAGCTGACCCCCGCCTCTGTGCCCACGGGGGTCTGTGGGTCGAGACAAGATCCCCTCCCTCCTTGGGCCTCCCAGGGAGGAATCAGCCCTGGGGGGCATTTGGGGAGCCACAGGCTGGGGGGGGACAGCGGCCTCCAGGGGGCCCAGGAAGGGAGGGGGGCACCGGCGATCATGCTGAGGCAGGCGGGGGGCTGGGGTGGAGGGTGGGCTACGCAGGACTTGTGACCCGTTCGGCTCGCTTGGCATTTGCTTGGTTAAGCTGAGCCGACATTTAAAAGTTCGATTTTCGCAGTAAAAAATAAAGAAAACACCTGGATTTCTGGCTTCTCTTAAAATCCTTGAAGACGTGGCATCTCCGGACCATTGGAGCCGAGCCACAATTAACCCCTAGTAGGAGCCTGAGCTGCCCGGCTAAGGGACCCTCCTGGGCCAGCTTTGCTCCCTGACGTCAGAGCAGGGCTGGGGGGCCTCCCGCCCCACAGGGGTGCTGAAAGGGCTTGGCTGCCCTCTGGTAGGGGGAGGCTCTCCAACACAGGGGGGCAGGGCCCTGAAGGCAGGAGCTCAGAGGGAAGCTGGGGGGGGAACCTGGTACAGAGAAGGTGAGTGGGGTTTCTGAGGAGCCCCTGCTTAGCACCAATGCACTCAGACACCCCATCCCCAAGTGAGCCTTCTCCCCCAAACCCCAGGGCTGTTCTCTCCAGATGCCAAGAGCTGCCAACCAAGGTCACCTCGGAGGGAAGCAAGGGACCCAGAAACCACAGAAGGCAGCCCAGGAATCTGGCATGGGGGGGGCGGGGGGCTTGGCTTTAAGGATCCACATAAGCCTCACGGAAACCTCAGGGCCAAAGACCCAGGGATTTTTGCCCCGCCTCAGCTCTCCTGTGGCCGACCCAGGACATGTGCACTGATGGCTTCCAAAGCTGTGTCTCCTGGGCAAGTCATTCAACCTCTCTGTGCCTCAATTCTCTCATCTGTAAAAGGAGGATCATGATAGTGCTTACCCCATGGGGTTGTTATGTGGATTAAATGAGTTAGTGCCCAGCACAAAATGACCACGACGTATGCGAGGGCTTCTATCGTCTGCCCAGAATCATGTTCCCATCTGCAGGTGGGGGAAGGGGAGCTCAGAGGGGGTACCCGCCCCGTGTCGCTCAGCCAGCCTGTTCCTGGAGGCAGCACGGGCTCCCTCTGTCTGACCCCAAATCCAGCATGTCAGACCATATTCTTAATAACATCTTTTATTGATTTTGCAAGAGAGAAAAATAGAAATTTATCTTAGAGTTAATGCCTGTATGGCTCCCCCCCCACCCACCCAAATCGCACGGTGCATACAATTACTATAAACATCAGCGGAGATTCTGGGAGCCAGTGTGTGCGGAGCTCTAGCAATCTCCCCGACAGCCTGACCGGCCGGCCTCAGGTAGGGACGGGAAGCCGTAACAGCCTCTAGAGTCGTGGCACCTGCTTTCGGCCCCTACGCGCCGGCCGGGATCAGCCCCCCGACTGCCCGGGAGCCCCAGCTCTCCTCCGGGAGCCCACAGGCCTCGGGGCGCCCGCCACATCGGGGAGGCAAGCGCAGAAGCTACAGAAATGATGGATCCTCTCCGGGAGAAACAATTCCTTATCTTCGCATCGGCCCCGCGCTCCAGATGAAAAGCGCATTTGCATAGCCGCTCTGCAAAGCTCATAAAGTATTTGCCGGGGCTCGCGGTTGCATAGGAACGTACTTCGAGTACAGCGCTGCGGCGGGCTGGGCCGGGCGCCAGGAAAACAACAGATTAATATTTGGAACGAGAAATTACCCACCACTGGGAAACCAATTAGGTCCCTGATCCGAGCTTGTTACATAGATGGAAATAGATACGTTCTGAGCCTCGCTCGGCTGGGGGTGCAAGGCACATTTCCAACTTGCGGGGAAGCTGCTGGGGGTGGGGGGCAACAAGCACCTCCCTGCCCGCAGGCAAGGGCACTGGCACGGGCGAGAGGCGGGGAGGCGAGTGAGAAGCCGGTGGTTAGACCGCAGGATGCCACCGCCGCCCTCCTCCAGGCAAAGTTCAAGCGGAAGGGGAGGCGGCATCCGGGGCGCGAGGGTAGGGGCGTGGCCTGCCCCGCGTCCAGAGCCGTCTGGGGTGTGAAGCTGTCCCGCCGCGGATCCCGCGTGGGCCTGGCTGCGTGGCGGGCGGGCACAGCGTGGACACTAGGGGGACCAGGGAGCTGCCCCGCCCTCCCAGCCAGCTCCGCCAGCCCCCAGATGAGGCAGGGGGTGGGGGGAGGGGAGCTGTTGGCACCTCAGCGTGGTGGGCCCCCCTCTCGTTGATGTTGGGTCTGAGGCCTGACCCCGGGCCCGGGGCAGCCACACTGCGCGCTGGGTGGAAGTCCTCCTCGGCCACCTCGTGGTCCGGCCCGAGACTGGACACGCGTGAGTGCGTGTGGCCTTGCTTTGCTGCGGGAGGGCCCCGAACTGCGTGTCTCGGGAGGGAGCCCCCGAGCAGCGGCGCGGAGGAAGGCCATGCCACACGAGTCCCCTTTGCGGCGGGACTTCCTCTTCCAGGCCCCGGAGTCCAGGCTGCCGAGGCTGAGGACAGGGGGCAGGCGGCGGGGAGCCCGGTGTGGCCGGTTGACAGAGCCCGGCGCGGGCCGGGGGGCCCGGCTCTCCCTCCTTCGCCAGTCAGCACCTCCACCGTCGCGCCGTCTCCTTCTCGCTTATGCAGGTTTTGGGGCGCAGTGCTGTTGAGGGAGAGTACGGAGGGGCAGACGTTCCCCAGCCTCAGTCCCCGAGGGCGGCGCCCCCACACTGACCCGTCACCTCCCCTGCAGCAACTCTGTGTGGCCGCCTCCAGGCCTTTCGTGCTGCCCCCTCTGCCTGGCCAGCTCCCCATATCTCTTAGGGCCGCGCTCTGGGAAGCCCTCGCCTCGGTGCACCCCACACAGGTTTCACAGTCCCCTCCAGACAGCACATCTGCCCTCAGGGCCTTTCCCCTCTGCACCCCAAGCCTGGCTCCCAGGCAGCTGCACCGCACCGGGTCACAGGCCCCTGTGGGAAGGAAGTAGGCAGCACGTTGCCCCTGGGGTTCTGCCCCCACAGCCCCTGCTCGGCACCGCGCCCCCCCCACCCAGTCAGGCTCCTGGGGAGAGAAGAGGGGTCCGAGGGGCAGGCAGGGGCCATTGGCCTAAAGACCGCTCAGCCTAAAGCCCAGAGGCCTATGCTCTGGGCCGAGAGCCCACACTGACCTGGGTCAACCGCGCTCTGCTTCTTCTTCGAGTTGGTAACGATTTGGTTCTCATTCATCATCTGCACGTCCTGGTCCTCCACCTGGTTGCTGGGGGGAGAAGACGGAGGGCTCGACCCCTGCCTCTGTCCCCGTTGGGGTAGGCGGGGTAGGCCGTGGGGCGGGCGGGGGGCGCACCTGATGATGGTGTGTTTCTCCTGGCGGCACACGTCCGCGTCGTCGGTGAAGAGGATGGTGTGATAGGGCACCTTGGGCTCGCACGTGGGCAGGATGCCCCCCACCAGGTGGCCCACCATGGCCAGGATCCCGTTGTATACCAGCAAGTCATCCACCAGGAGCTGGGCAGAGAAGGGGGGCTGCACTGTGCGGCCGGGGACCCCCCCTTCCCACCCGCGGCCTCGGCCAAGCGGGGCCAAGCCTTGCCCGCTAGTCCAGCCTGGTTCTGAGGTCAGAGCTTCGCAACCCTCGGCCACACGGGGACGCGGAGGCTCAAAGGCTTCAGGTACCTTGAGCCCACGTGGCAAATCCGGGTCTTTGGCCCCTGGGGGCCCAGCTCTCCCGGCCCCAGAGTTGCCTCCCAGGGTGAAGAATTCCCTACACCACTAGGACTGGAAAAGACAAGATGAAAGAAAAGCCTGTTTTTTTCAGGGTGATGATTCAAATCACTCGGGGCAGGTTCTGAATTCGCGATTGGATGGCGAATTCCCCTGCATCTGAGGGCCAGGCATTGGTGTCTAAGGTAGCAACGGAGAGAAGCAAATCAAACGGCGACACATGGTAATTGCCAGCAGGCTAATTACAGTGAGCATAATTATCTCAAAAAAAAACCAGCTAATAAGTACTTACACCAAACTCCTTCACCCCTCGATGGGGCGTTTTTGCGTAATTCCACAGTTTGATCATTGACACGGTGGTAGGCAGATCGAAAATCACATAAACCCGGTTCACCTGTCAGAGAGGAGAACTCATTAAACTAGGCATGTTTGGAAACAGAGGCAATGGGCAGGGGCGGGCGCCGGGGCCGTGGTGCTGGGGTTCCCACTGCCTTCCGTCTCCTGGAAGCCCATCTTGAGTCCGGTCACGTGTGGCTGCGTTTGCAACGAGCTGCTGAGCTGGCTCTGGGAGGGCCTGGTTCCCTCGTTCAAATACCCGAGGAGAAATGGGTGCACCCTTCCCTCCCCCCAGGCCAGCCAAAAACATAGTACGGGCTTCATTGGCCAAAGGGGAGGGCCCAGGTCAGGGAGCATGGTCCCCGGGGTATCAGCGTGGCCTTGACCCTGATCTGTCCTTTCCCCAACCACAAGTGAGTGGCACAGCAGAGGCCCTGAGAGCAGGGTGGGGGATTTGCAGTGTGTGTCTTTGAAGCTCTGCCCCGCGCAGGGTGGGTGGGGACGTGACCAGATCAGTGGCAGGATCAGCTAGTTAGGTCAGACCCTTGGCTTCCCCCACCACACCCCCACCGCCTCAACAAAGACTCTCCGATATCAGGCAGCCCCTTGCACGACAGAATAAAGCAATAAGCATTCAGTGCTGGCCACAGGCTGCAGGCTCCGTTTTGCCCCAGGCCCTGGGTCTCAGCCTCGTTGGCCATCGTCAGAAGGTCTCAGAGGAAGTTGCAGGGGGGTGGGGGTGGGGGAGTACTGCTGGGGCAGGGTCAGCCTTCTGACGGCACCACGGAAATAACAGAGGTCCTCAAACTCAGTTGCCCCAGGGGCTCAAGCAGATAACAAATGTTTGAGTCCCGGGACGCCTGGGTGGCTCAGTCTCTTGAGTGTCTGACATTGGCTCAGGTCACGATCTCAGGGTTCGGTGGGTTCAAGCCCCGAGTCTGGCTCTCTGCTGTCAGCACAGAGCCCGCTTCAGACCCTCTGTCCTCCCCCCACCCCAACCCCTCCCCAGCTTGTACTCTCTCAACAACAAAGGTTTGAGTCCAGCTGGAGAGAGAGAGCTGGAGAGACAACCTCACACCAAAAGTCAAGTGAAAGATGGTGGGAAAACATGCACTGGCCAAACACAAGATGCCGTGGGTGGGCCGGGCCGGGCTCTTGGGGCTGAGACCTCCGTGTTTCTCCCCTGTGGTGCTGGGCTGGCCTTGGCGCAGGGGAGCAGTCAGACGCTCGGAGTTCAGGGTGGCGGGGGGCCACTGTCAGAAAAGCTCCAGTACAGAGCAAAGTATCCCTCTGAGCCCTTCTGCCCGGTCACACCGGGGAAGGGGACACCTTGGCGGTCACATGCACGCCCCAGGGCCTGCTGCACTTATGTAGCATGAGGCTGGCACGGGGCTAGAACCGCCAGCCACCCCCAGTTTGTCTCTTCTCTCTCTAGGTCCCCACCCTCAGGTCCCCCAGTGACAAGCAGGGCCCGTGGGAGGGTCTGAGATCTGCAAAACTGAGTCAGTTGAAGAGCCGGGGCCAGAGAGAAGGCAGGGCCGGGGTCCGGGGCCCTCAAGGAGAAGCAGAACAGGGAACATGGCCAGAGGCTGGAGGGCAGAGGGGCTTCTGCACGGGGCCTCCAGCATTCCACGTGGGCAGCCCCTTGTCACAACCACCCCAAGCGCAAGGAGAAAGGACTCGCCGGAGGAGTGCCTGTCAGATGTGTGTGTCTGTGGGACGCCAGCCGTCCTGACAGCCCTCGGCATTTTGGTTTGCTGAAGATTAACGTGAGGACGCGTCCCCGAGACCAAGGACGCGAAGTGGCCCCGCCCATCCCAGGGCTGGCAGCCCCTGCGCACCCACCAGGCCGGGCAGGATGGGAGCCAGCCACATGTGCCGACCGTCAATGGTGTCGTTCACTTGGTCGATGAGCTTATCAGGCGTCCGGACGTCCCCGCACACACCCTCCAGGGAGTTCACGCTGTCGGGGAAGGCGGCGATATCTGGGGAGCCTCTAAGCTGCCATAACCGGGAGTGGTGTGCTGGAAGCCGTGTGCCACGCATGCGGCCACGGGCCTCCTCGCGCTGACGCCATGGCCCCGGGGATGCCCGGGCTGGCGGGCAGCACGGCCGTCTGCTGCTCTGGGCAGCCGGAAAAGTGACAGCCAAATCAGACATTCCGGGGAAAATGAGCACAGAGGCCAACGGGTGTGTGTGGGGGCGGGGGGGGGGGCAGTTTCAAGGAAAGGGGAGGAGGCCACGCAGACAGATGGCCGGGGATCAGTCTCCCCGGGATGCTGGAGGCAGGAACAAAATTTGTGGCTGATGCTTAGGAGAGTGGAGGGCAAGCTGCTACGGGTTTCTTTTGCAAGGGGACTGGGTGGCAGCCGGACTGGACACGACATGTGAGGACCAGCCTGAGGCTGAATGCATGGTGGGGAGCGGAGGGGCACCTGACCCAGTCATGGCCACTCAACTGCTGGACATTAGTGCCCATCTGGACAAACTAGTTCCAGCTTCTGCATTTTGACCTGAGGTCTCAGGAGAGTCAGAGAGCACCTTGGGGCTTGTTTCCTCATCTGTAAAATGGGTATAAAAACCTCCATATCCGGGGCACCTGGGTGGCTCAGTCAGTTAAGTGTCTGACTTCAGCTCAGGTCATGTTCTCATGGTTCGTGGGTTCGAGGCCCATGTTGGACTCTGTGCTGACAGCTCAGAGGCTGGAGCCTGCTTCGGATTCTGTGTCCCCCTCCCTCCCTCTCTCTCTCTCAAAAATAAACACTAAAAAAAATTAAAAGCCTCCACATCCCAGAATTGATGTGAGGATTTCAGAGGACACTGGATGTGAGCACGCTCGCTAAAATCAATGGGGCCTTACACATCCAAGGACTCACTAATAACAAAGCCACCACAATCATTCACGTCAGGTGAAGAGGATGGTGTCACCGGGGGAAGCCAGGGAATCCCAAACAGGTGCAAGGCAGGCTTTGGGGCTGGACCTGCTCTGGCCAGTCCCTGTGGTGGCCCAGGGGTCACAGGGCAAAGGCCCAGAGGGGTCAGGCAGGTGACAGCAAAGAGATGCATGACAGCTCAGTGGTCAGAGCATGGTCTCTGGAGGCGGACTCCCAGTCCTCACTCCTATGCTGTGTGACCTTGGGCAAGTTACTTGACTTCTCTGTGTCTCAGTTCTTCATTTGTAAAATGGGGATAACAGCATTCACTTCCCAAGACTGTTGTGAGACCAAACCAAACCAGGTCCCATGGGACAAGCCCTCATGGAATGAGCCCTCAGCAAGTATTAGCAATCCGGGGGGCCTGGTAGAAAATAATAAGGACACGCGTGGAGAAAAAAAGGGCAGTGGATACTCCGGTCCGACCATCATCGCTGTGCATGACCGTGGCCTCAAACATTGCTGATTTCTCAAGAGTGGCTGAAGATGGACGTGTTCCTGTGAAATGCCCTGATCTTTAAAAAATATTAGCAACTCGTCTGAAGTATTTCAAAACTCAGTGGGCTAATCATTTGCGAATTCTGGTGTGGGCCCTCCATGAACAAAGGGGTTGGTGAATTTGCTGGGCTGAACACAGGGCCTCCGGCTGCTCCCTGCAGGCCTTGCCAGAGCCTTTAGAACCCCAAAGTGCCTGTGGCTCTCCAGGACGGGGTGCAGTTGGTACCCTGGACCACAGGACTCTCTGTTTTGTGGGATTCATGACCTTGGCACTCCCAAGGGTCAGCATCTGGCCATCACCTGAAGCCCCTGAGCTTTCGGTCCCGGGGTCTGGTTCTTACAGCACTATTCCCTCCCCTTCCCCTGGCCCCCTCACATTCCCTTGCTCAGGGTGGGGCCCCCTTCTGCCTAGAAAGGATACTATTTTCCGACAGAGGGATTTTTTCTCCCCGCTCATCGTATAGCTCCAGGCCCGTGAGACCGATGTAATAGGGGTCACCCCAGCTGGTCAGGAGCTGGAACTGAAAGATGACTGGGCCACAGCATTAAGGAAAAATAGGCTTAATTTTCTGAGAACAAAGCAAGACAATGGCAGAGGTAACGTTAGGATATATTTTTTGCGGGGCTTATGCAGTGAAGGAGAGAGAAAAAAAAAAATCACTTTTTCCCACATGAGACAGAAGTCTGTCCAGATACGTGTGTCATCGAACTGTCTTTACTGTGAGCTGCGCGTGCATGTGTTTTAGGAGCGAACCTTCCTCCACGTCCCGGGAGACGGGAGGGCCGGGGGGGCAGCCCTTCTCCAGGGAGCTGGCGGGAAGGAGGCCCATTTGTGTCAGAAACTCGTCATGTGGTCGTGCTGGACAAAGGGACCGGGACTCAAACTCTCTCGTGCCTCAGTTTCCCTGGTTATGAGATGTCAAGAACGGAGCACCTGCTCTCTCCTCCACCCACTTTCAAGTGTGCAGGGGGCAGGGGGGGAGATACATGAGCACCAGGAGGGCTGTGGCCGTGGCAGGGTGTCCCGAGTCTTATCCCATAGACACAATGGGGCACCAAGCCCGTCCGCGGCCCCGTCCCCAACCTGCTCCCAGCATTCCAGGGGCAGGCAGGGCAGGAAACCAGAGGGGTGACTCTGGGCAATATCATAGCCACAAGCAGACCTGCCAGAAGAACGGGCCAGCGAGAGAGCCGGGCTCACGTTCACTAACCTGTCCTGCCCCTTCCCAGCTATGTGGCCTGGGGCAAGTTACTTGGCCTCTCTGGGCCTCAGTTCTCTCATCTGTGAAGTGGGGATGCTAGCCCAGGGCTGTGGTGAGGCCCGAGCTCACACGGGCAGCCCGCTGTGAGCAGTGCCAGGCCGAGGAAAGGGTTAGCAACTGTGAGCTGCCCTTACTTCCATCTTCACTTCCTCCCTGCCTGGAGCCCAGGACAGCCTCCAGTTTAGGGCCTGCGGAAAGCTCCAGCTTCTCTGGGCCTTCCCCTCTGGAGTCCCGGGTGCTGCCCCCTGAAACGTCGGCCGGCCAGGCGGTGGGATCTGGGACTCGGGTCGTTGTCCCGCTGCCCCCCACCCCCCCGGCAGCACCCGGTGGACCTGAGGACCCGCCAACCCTCCCGTCGTCCCCCGGGTTTCCCTGCCTGGTGAACCCCAATGTCACCACAGGGGCTGAGCCCTGTCCTGGGGCTCCGGGCGGGGCCCCCGAGGGCCTGTGCAGGGAGGATACAGCCGCAGGGCATCAGGGGTGCCTCGTAGTCCATGCTTGCCCGTTCCTGGCTTTGCGTGCTGAGCCTAAAAAAAAAAAAAAAAAAAAACCACAAAACAGCACCAGGAAGCAGAAGATTGTGACTACCCTGATCGCTGGTCAGTTGTCCCCTGGGCAAAAGACTTTGAAGACCATATGGCCCTGGGAGGTGGGTACCCTTATAGCCCTGGGTTGCGGGTGAGGCGCACAGAGAGGTGAAGTCACTTGCTCAGGGCCACTTGGAGGGCAGGCGGCAGAACTGGGATGTGGCCTGAGGTTGTCTGGTTCCGGAGTCCACACTTAACCACACAGCACTACGGCCCCTTCATGAACAAGGCGAGTCCACGCTGCGCTGACAGCTGGGCTGGAGCCGGGGGGGGTGGAGTGCCCGGCTGGGGCAGGCCACCCTAGGGGGTGGCCAGGGACCTGGCGCCTGCGCTGAGAGGGAGGCAGCTGCACAGAGTCAGAGCTGAACCCTCCAAGCAGAGGGGCAGCCAGAGCAAAGGCCCTGTGGTGGGGAAGCACTGGGGGGGCTGGGGTGTGGGGCGGGAAGGGAAAGGAGGCCAGTGGAAGGTGGGTTGTATCCTGAAGGCTTTGGCTTTGTGATCCTGAGCAAGTGGCTTCAATAGCAGGGGCCTCAGTTCCCACATCTGCACAACGGGCATAATAATCCCTACTTCAAAGGGTGGGTAGAAGGATAAAAACAAAGCGTCAGACCAGAGCCAGCACTTGGAAGCGGGGGTGGTGGTTGTCTCTTCTCCACACTCTGCCCCACGGGGTCTCTCTCCCAGGTCCACAGCCAGTACCCCCAGGCCTTCCTGGTTTTCTTCAATTTCAAGAGCAATCTTATAATTACATGGCTGTTCCCAATGACCGGCCCAACAAGCGATCCCAGCCACAGTGGAGGGAAACTCGTTTGTTTTGTGAGCTTGGCCTCTGGCGTTTGGACTTCAGGGGCTTTAAATGAGTTAACTGAACATGGCATTTACAAATTGTTAGGACCTATAATGCAGCTGAGACAGGGGCCAAGAAATACCAGTGAACCCACAAAATGTTAGGCTCTCATTTTCTCTTTGACTCTAAACTGGGAACTCAGAAACAAGAGAGAGAGAGAGAGAGAGAGAGAGAAGGCCCTTCCCTGAATTGGCCGGCGGGCATTTCTGGAATAGAGGCAGGCTGGAGCCTCTTTTCCCAGCAGGAAGTGCAACGAAGCATTTAAAATTTCCAGCACTCCAGACTGTGAGCAGCCCAAACATCCCTAGACAAGGTGGGTACATCCCACAGGCTTCCGGAGAGGCTTGGCTGAGCTTTAGAAAACCGCCAAGTTGAAAAGCAACGCGTTTGATCATCGTTTCAAAACCTTTCGGTATAAACTTCAGAGCGACGCGTGGAGCCGGCAGCCCCGAGGACCGGGGAGGGGACACTCCTGGGCCTCCCCCCACTCACCTCCGGGCCGGCTGGGGCAGCTGTCGAGCCTGGAGGTAATCCACAAAGAGAATTTCTTGAGCGAAATCAAAGTGGCAGTTGCCTGGTCCCTTCCGGATGAGGAAGCCCTCGGGAGGGGAGATGCACAGGCCGTCCAGGGACACGTGGACGATCTTGGCCTAGCAAACAAAGGAAAACCCGTGCGTTAAGGAAGGAGGCCAGCGTGGAGGTCGGGCATGTTGCCGTGTGTGACGGGCGGCCTTCCCAGAGCCCCCACGCCGGACAGACAGCCTGGCCTGGCCTCTCCCTCAGGCCAGAAGCACCGCGTCAGGCCACTTTCCGGTGCCACCCCCACTCCCTGCCAGGCGCCGTGCTGGGCACTGGGCAGACGGCAGGGGACGATGGTGGTCCACAAGCAGGGGTGGCGCCTGACTCAGCCCGGATCCCCACCCCCCTCACCCGCTGCAGAGCAGCTCAATGGTCAAGGGCGTCGGACTCAGGTGCCCCGACCTCCACCGTTAGTCGCTGTGCAAGTTACTTAAACTCCCTGTGCTTCAACTGCCTCCTCTGTTAAATGGGCTTGACGATGAGTAAACGTATGCAAAAGATGCGGAATGCAGCGCCTGGTACAAGAGATGTACTCAGTAGGTGTTGGGCACTGACCCTTCTTCAAGCCCCGCCTCACAATCTTCCACTTCTACGCTGTTCCCAGGACAGAATGAGTCCCTCCCTGATCTTTCTTCTCATGGCCCTCAGCTCGTCCTTTTTAAAAACGTTTGTTTATTTTTTGAGAGAGTGGAAGTGTGAGCAGAGAAGGGACAGAGAGAGGGCTTTGTGCTGACGGCAGCAAGTCCAATGTGGGGCTCGAACTCATGAACTGAGACATCATGACCTGAGCTGAAGTCGGACGCTTAACCGATGGAGCCCCCCAGGTGCCCCCTTAGCTCACGTGGTCCCCAACAGTGTCCTCGGCAGTTTCTGGGTCTCCCTCTGCAGCAGAGGCCCTGGCAGGGTCACCTATACCTGCTTCCTGGCCTGGTGCTGAGTGGGTGCTTTCCAGCCCGCTGAATGGGGGGGGGGGGGTCTGGGCCAACCGGTTGCCCTGTTCTAGGACAGACTTCACCAGCCACGTAGCCAGGATCTGCCCGTGAACCTCCAAGCCTGAACGGCAGGGTCTGAGGCGGCTCAGGTCTGCCTCCCTTGGGCAGGGGGGCGGTAGGTGAGCAGAGAGGGGCGGTAGACCAGCGCTCTCTTTCCGACTACACGTTTTGGAATCAGGGGCCCTCGCATCTTCCTGGTGAGGAACAGGGGCCCAACTGCTGACCATACTGGTAGATTCTCAGCCCCAGGAGACACGGAGGGGCTGTGCAGAAAGAACGAGGCCCTGCCCCGGGTCTCAGAGAGAACGCATGTGCCCCGGGGGCCCTTCCTTCCTTCAGCACTTAGGGATTCCCCTCAGGGCAGCCGGGCACGGGGCACAGACGCCGGCCGCGCGTAGGGTTAAATGGCTTCAGCGGTGGCTGGATATGGGGGCCCAAGAGCTGTCACTGCCTCTCCCCGCTCGGCCTTGCTCCAGGCTGATTCAGCCCCTGGCCCCGGCGCTGGACCTGGACGCACAGAACTGTAACCCGCTTGTCATACGATTGGCCCAGGGGCGCAGACCTGCACCGGCACGGTCAGCACGACTCCTCGGGTCCTTCTTCAGCTGGGCTTGGGGCTAGCGGGGGGCTGGCGACAGAGCAGCGCAGAGGCCCAGGAAGGCTCTGTCCCTCCTCCAGCGCCACCGCCTCCACTAGGAAGTGTCCCTGACTTCCCCAGGCCTGTTTAGTCCCTTGGATGGGGCTTCTACTATCGTCTCCATCTTATGGCCAAGGAAATAGGAGTTCAGAGAGGTTAAGCAATTTTCCCGAGGACACACTGCAGGGATCTGAGGCTCCATCTCTAGCGTGCAAGGCCTGGCTCTCATCACATGCCAGGGACCTGTAACCTGAGCACCCAGAGAGCCTTGGGAGTACCGGCGGCCAAGGCATTTTCCTGGGGTGCAAATGGTTGTTGCCACCATGCTGCCCTCCAGGGTTTGCCCTTCCAGGCTGTGCCCATCTCTCCAGTCCCACGGTGGCCATCTGTCACTGGCACCGAGGCTGGTGGCGGCCAGGCTTGTGGGAAGCAGGGGCTCTGGGTCCAACATTTCCAGGCAGCAAATCCAGGCCGTGGAGGCACAACCGGCCAGACTGATTCACTCAAGGGAACATAAAGGCTCAGAGGCCCGAGTTGAGCCAGAGAGGGAGCTTTTAACGCCAGTGTATCTGACCTTTTAGACCTGCTGAACTTGAAAGCGTGTTCTGGGAACGGGGGCGTGGCCTGGGGGGCTTGTGAACCGTGCTGCTCCGGAAGGCGAGCCCCCCGGGGGGCTGCTGACTCCCTTGTGGCAAACCCCCACGGTTCTGCAAGCCCCATGGGGCCTGTAGAAGGAACTCTCTGGCAGGTGCATGTGGGGGAGCCACACGTGGGGCTCACGGGACCCGAGGCCAAGGCCTGGTTTGGTCAGCTTCCATATGGCAGAGGATGATGGGTACTCTCCCAAGGCAGGCATCATCCACCTCCTCACTTGACAGACAGGGAAACTGAGGCCCAGGGGAAGCAGGCCACTTGCCCAAGACCACACAGCTGCTTAGGGTCAGAGCTGGGATTCAGACTGGGGCCTGTGACTTTGGGGCCCTAACCGCATTGCTGCATTTTCAGTGGCCTTCTCACTGTCACCCCTGTGTGGCAGGGGAAGGGGACAAACTTATCATAGGTCATAGTCACAGGAGGACAGAAAAGCCCATGAAAAGGGCACTTGGGATGCTCTTTGTCCACACCACAGCAACGGCATGCCCAGCAGCGGAAGCACGTGCTGGGGAACTGAGCATGGGCTCCAGCCGTGTGACCCTGGATGAGTGAATGGACCGTTCTGAACCCCAATTTTTTATACTCTGAAAGATGGGGGTCCTGACACCAGCCTCCCAGAGGCTGGAGCAAGGGCCCCATGAAACGAATGGGTGCAAAGCCCTCAGCTCAGGGCCTGGCGCCCTGCCCTCAACAAACCACAGGGCCTCTGTCCGGCGCTAGGCTCAGGGCCTGGGCCTGTCGGGAACGCCCGAGCCCCAGGAGACACAAAGTGTCCCAAGTCTGCCCTGGGCTCTTTAGCCCACATTTGCTGTTTGCAGGAGAAGCAAATAGCAGTGTGTTTTCTCCCTGGCTATAACCCCACCCCCTGGCTCCATTTGGTAAGTTCTGGAAGATTTATGCCCCTCTCTGGCAGCCACACCAGCCATTCATCAAGGCGCTGTTTCCCTGACAGTGGACTGAGCTCACTTCTATTCCCCAGCTTACCCCGCGATAGGTGTCCTCAGGAGATTTATTGTAGTTCCAGAAGCGCAGGCCTGCGATGTTTTCGGCTCTGTCGAAGCGGATCGTGACCACGTGGTCCAGGCCCGGGGAGAAGGGGACCAGCCACATATGCTCATCCTCCATGGTGATGTTGGCACCATCGACTAACCTGCAAACAGTGGGGAGGGTGCGGTCAGGTGGGGCTTGGCCATGTCCTCTGGGGGAAATCAGAGTAGGGTCTATACCTCCCATCAGCCCCTGGCACCCCCTGCACTGGCCTGGCTGTGTTGGGCTTGTTAGGGGGGCCTGATTATAGCCACAGGGAGGGGCCACGAAAATCAGACAAAATACAAAAATGGGAAAAAGTAACAGTCTGCGCTGTTAAAGGTGGGGTGAGCCAGCCATCAAGGTTTTTTCTTTTTAATTTTTTTAATGTTTATTTTTGAGAGATGGGGCGGGGGGGTGGGGAAGAGAGAGAGAGAGGGAGACATGGAATCCGAAGCAGGCTCTAGGCTCTGAGCTGTCAGCACAGAGCCCAACGCGGGGCTCGAACCCACAAACCACGAGATCATGACCTGAGTCAAAGTCGGACGTTTAACCGACTGAGCCACCCAGGCGCCCTGCCATCAAGGTCTAAAATAGATGAGGAGAATGTGTCATCTTTCTGGACCCTTTGGGATTCCATTTCTGGAACTCTTTTCCTCTAAGGAAAATTTGTTCAACCCGCGGGAAGATATTCATTATAGTGTTGTTTATTATAAACAGCAAAAAAACACCACCACAAAAAACAATGATCGAAAATACTTCCAAGAGCCTCAAAACACAAAGAGTGAAGTACCTCTGTACACTTGTTAAAACAATAATCATGAGGATGACGCGGTGACACGGAAAAGGCGGCCACGGGTACTGATTTTAATGCTGGAAAACGGGCACAGGGACCAGAAGCAGGCACACAGAAGTGAAACACACATTTGTGCCAGAGGTGGGGGGGCGCACGCTTTTCCCTGTTTTCCAAACTTTGTGTAAGACGATGCATGGGCTCTACGGCGCATTTTGAAAGAATTTGATTCCTTCTTTCTTGCATCGGGGAGAGAGATACTAAGGCGCTAGGGTGCACTTGGCCGCTGTTGGTGTGGGAACAGCACAGGAAGGGGCAGGTGGGTCAGTGGGGAGCTGTTCTGCAGCACAGGGCAGCCCCCGCCCTTCAAAGGGAGCCCCTGGCGCCGTCACGCGCTTCTTCGCCACTGTTCTGAATGAACCTGGCACCTCGCCCGAACTGTACTCCCATCCTGGCCGGTTTCTGGGCCTCATGCTTGAAACAGCCTGCCTCTTCGTTCTCGACTTTGCCTGTTTTCATCCCAGAGACCATTCTGCCACTGGCGGCCCTCGTCTGCCCGGCGCGGCGCAGCCTCGACCCCAGGCCGTTATATCGTGGCTCTGGCCTGTGTCCTGGCATCCCCACTGCGCAGCCTGGCCGGGAACAGGGGGCCCCAACTCTCAGCCCCTCGGGTAACCCTCTCCCCTCCCCTTCCTGTTTTCCTGGTGACTCAGAGGCTGCTGCACCGGGAGAACTTCCTAGATTTTAAAATAAACCTTATTTTTTCTACGTTTTAAAGTTCCGGATTTGGAATAAACCTTACAATCTAAGTGTTCACCCAGGGAGGTGAACACTTAGATTAGATTAGGTTAGATTAGATTAGATTAGAAAAAAAGGTGTTTCTTTTTTTTCTTTCCCTAAAAGGCAGTTATTAAACTGATGGATGGTGTGTCTTACTATTGCTGGTACCTTAAAACTGAGGAGAGTCAGCAATGTAAAACGGAGGTGTTTGTGGAATTAGGCCGACGAGAGAACCTTCTATTTCCTTCTGAACGCAATTGCTTCTCTGTCCTAGAGATGGGGCTACCTCCATAGCAAAACTGCTTCCTAACTCTGAAAGTAGCGAGGGTTGTTGAAGCAGTTACAGTTGACAGTGAAGGGAAGTCCCCATGGACAACCTCAAGAATATCTAAATGATACTTCCCAGCTCTGTCCGCAGAAAAACCTAGAAACTGGTTCCACAGAAACCCAGCAGCAATGAGGTTCTCTAGTGGCTACATTATGGTCTCTAAATACCATTTCCCATTGGAAGGAACCAGAACTTCCTGGGGAAGGTGGCCGATTCCACATCTGGGATAAGAAATATCCAAGAGGAGCCTGGGATATCTTGTCACATCGGAAAGCAGGGAAGCTGTCACAGACTACTATTTTAAAAAACGGATGCAGGGGATGCCTGGGTGGCTCAGTCGGTTGAGCGTCTGACTTCAGCTCAGGTCATGATCTCACGGTTCATGGGTTTGAGGCTCGTGTTGGGCTCCGTGTTGACGGCTCAGGGCCTGGAGCCTGCTTCAGATTCTGTGTACCCCCCCCCCCGCCCCTCCCCTGCTTGTGCTCTGTCTCTCAAAAGTAAATAAATGTTGGGGCGCCTGGGTGGCTTAGTCGGTTAAGCGTCCGACTTTCGCTTAGGTCATGATCTCGCGGTTTGTGGGTTCGAGCCCCGCGTCGGGCTCTGTGCTGACTGCCAGCTCAGAGCCTGGAGCCTATTTCGGAGTCTGTGTCTCCCTCTCTCTCTGACCCTCCCCTCCTCACGCTGTCTCTCTCTCTCTCCTAGAAATAAATAAAAAATAAAAATTAAAAAAAAAAAAAGTAAATAAATGTTTAAAAAATTTAAAAAAAGGAGCTCTCAGTATCTCAGAGCATCAATAAGATAAAAGCTGTAATAAATTGAAAAGCTTCAAACACAGTCTGTTTAAATTCATGATTTATGACAGTCAGACACAGACTTTTTTTTTTTTTTAAAGTAGGCTTCCCACCCAGCATGGAGCTCAAAGTGGGGCTTGAACTCATGACCCCGAGATCAAGACCTGAGCTGAGATCAAGAGTCAGACGCTTAACCAACTGAGCCACCCGGGCGCCCCCAAACACAAATGTTTTAGTATGCCAGAGAAACACTTTTTTATTTTGAGAACTGAAAAATAAAGGGAAAGAACCAAGCATTTAGACTGCCTTTCCTATTTGACTTGTACCTCAGAGTAACCAAATCATTGAAGAAAAATTTCTTTTTATTGATGAAAAAAAGAAGGATAGGATCAGTGCACCACCATCATGCAACCAACCCCTAATGTAGTAATGGATGTGCCCGCTGAACACAGACCGCCAGCGTCACAAGAACCCTGACAGCCAGGGGCGCCTGGGTGGCTCAGTTGGTGAAGCGTCCGACTTCGGCTCAGGTCATGATCTCATGGTTGGTGGATTTGAGCCCCACATCGGGCTCTGTGCTGACAGCTCAGAGCCTGGAGCCTGCTTGGGATTCTGTGTCTCCCTCTCTCTCTGACCTTCCCCTGCTCACACTGTCTCTCTCTCTCTCTCTGAAATAAATAAAATACTTAAAAAAAAAAAAAAAAAAGAACCCTGACAGCCAGACCTTTCATATGTCCTGAAGGGAATGCACAAGGACATCGACACCCCCATGGTCACATCTTGCCCCTGTGCACAAACCTCAGTCGGATCAGGCGTCTAGATCTAATGAACAATTTACAAGAAACACAGGGGCTGGAGGAACAGGTTAAACGATACCAAAAAGATACAACCAGTAAAATCCTGACTCTACAAGGGCAAAACCAAACCAAAACAAAAAAAACAAAACCCTTTCTTCAACAATTAATTTAGAAGAAAAAATGAAAAAAAGATGGAAGGGAATCTAGAGAGTATAAGAGGCTTAAGAGACTTAACAGGGGCGCCTGGGTGGCTCAGTTGGTTAAGTGTCCAACTTTGGTTCAGGTCATGATCTTGTGGTTCACGAGTTCAAGTCCCGCATCAGGCTCTGTGCTGACAGCTCAGAGCCCGGAGTCTGCTTCAGATTCTGTGTCTCCCTCTCTCTCTGACCCTTCCCTATTCACTCTGTCCCTCTTTCAAAAATAAATACACATTTAAAAAGAAAAAGACATAACAAAGAATCACAATGTATGGACTTTATCTGAATCCCAAACGAACCAATCAGAATGTATGGAACTTCCGTGGCTCTCAAGACAACCAATCAGAATGTATGGAACTTATGTGGCTGTCAAAACAACCAATCACAATGTATGGACCTTACCTAGACCTCAATTCAAGAAATGAACTGTTAAAACGGCGGTGGAGAGACTATCAAGGGAAATAGGAACATGCTAGATAGATATCTACTAATTTAGAGAATCACTGTTAATTTTTATTTTGGGGGGTGTGATCATGGCATTGAGATTCTGTCCTTTTTAATGTCCTTATTGTTTAGAGCAGCACCCTGAAATATTTAGAGATGAAGTGCTACGAGGCTTGGGGTTTGGTGTAACATAATCCGAGTGGGCAGTGGTGGGTGGGTGGGTGTGGGTGAACATGCAGGGCCGGCTGTGTGTTGATCAGTTTTGCAGCAGGAGCCAGATTCATGGGCTACAAGCCTGATACTCGGGCGTGTGACCTGCCAAGATGCGGAGTGCTGAGTGGTTCTTGAACAGGCACTGACAGCCAGCATGGGGGCCACGGTCAAGGGGTCCCTTAAGACAAAGCAGGGAGGAGTCATCTGGGCCAGACAGGGGGTGCAGGTGTGGTGTGGCAACCCTCTTCCCAGCCTCCGGCCGTGGGATTTATTGTCCCCATGCTGCTGAGGAAACCGAGGCAGTGGAAGACAGAACTTAGTGGTTAATTAAGTGCATGGATGTTGGGCTCCCCGGGGACCTCCATTCAGATGATTCTGCCACTTAAAACTAGTCTGGGGGGGACACCTGGGAGGCTCAGTTAAGTGCCCGACTCCCCAACTCTTACTTTGGCTCAGGTCGTGTATCACGGTTCAAGCCCTGCGTCCAGCTCTGCGCTGACAGTGTGGAACCTGCTTGGGGTTCTCTCATTCCCTATCTTTTTGCCCCACCCCCGTTTGCATGCATGCTCTTTCTCTCTCAAAATAAATATTAAACAAACAAACAAACAAACAAAACCCTAGTCTGGGTAACTTCTGGCCAGCTGTTAACCTTTCTGCACCTCATTAGTCTTCCTCATTTGCAAAATGATGGCCTCTTAGGGCTGTTTGAGGTTTAAATGGATGAATATCTGTAACACAAGCCCAGGGACTGGCATTTTTTCCATGCTCGAAGAATAGCTGCTATAACTTTATTATCACGACTCTTATCATTGGAGAGGCTAAGAGAGTCACTAGCTGGCAAGGGGCAGAGCCAGCACCGGAACTCACATCCTTCTGACCCCTCTAATCTCCTCCCTGCAGGGGGAGCCCAGGCCCTGAAGTCCTCCTGAGCAGGGGGCTGAGTGCCAGTCTGCAGTGACGGGCCGGTGGGATGATGCTATTATCTCATGCTCGCCCTGGTATCGCCTGGCCCCAGCCTGGCCTCATGAAATCAGACCAAAGCAGAGGAATGTGCTTGCCACCACTCCTGGAGACTTCCAGAGCAACCCCCTCCAAACCCAAGCGAGTGATGGAAAGCCTTCAGCCCCTGAGAGGAGGGGTGGCCCAGGCTCAGATGCCGAGCGGCACTGCAAAGGCTTTCCAAGCTCTTGACCTGCGTTCCAGGCTCTACGCGCCAAGTGGTGGAGAAAAACGCAAAGCACAGCTGTGTCTGGAACCCCACCCACCACCTCCGGCTGTGTGGCCCTGGGAGGGTCACCTCCCTGTCCCACGCCTTGGTTTCCCTTGACTCCAAAATGGGAAGGGGCGCCTGGGTGGCTCAGTCACTTGAGTGTCCGACTCTTGGTTTCAGCTCAGGTCACGATCTCACGGTTTGTGGGTTCGAGCCCTGCAACTGACTCTGTGTTGACTGTGGAGCCTGCTTGGGATTCTCCCTCTCCTTCTCTCTCCAAATGAATAAATAAACTTTAATAAAATAAACTAAAATAAAATGGGAAGACCCAGACCTCATGGGGTGGTGGGAAGGTGGAATAGGGAACGCTATTTGTTCTCTGAATCCAGAGTCTAAGACGCAGAGCAGATCCCCAATCCCAGCTCCACATCTGAGCATGAGCGGCCCTGCCGCTCCGGGGCTGAAAGTGGTCCACTGCTCGTGGTTGGAGGGGCTTGCTCTGGAAGTCTTTGCAGCCGGCTTCTCAGACACTTACTTGTCCAGGGTCCGGCAGTCATCGGTGTACTCAGGAAGGTCATTCAGGTCCCTGGGGGAGGCAGAGAGCTGGTGTGGGCTGACAGGCAGCGCCTGGCCATCCTTGCCCACCACCTCCAGGCCTGTGAGCCCCAGGTAGTGCGGGTCCCCCCAGGAGGCGGTGAAATTCAGCTGAAGGCCTGTAACAGGAGGAAAAGTGGCCGATGAACGCCAGATGTTCCGGAGGAGGGCCCAGGATGGAGACGGGAAAAGGAATGACCTTCAGCCTCTGCATTCTACCATCTTGAAAACCCAGACTTCGATGAAAGGGCCTTCTGGGTGGGCTCTCCACCCTTCCTCTTAGAGACCCTCGGGTCTGGATCACTGCTGATCTTTTGGAAACGTCTGGAGGATGAATGGACCCGTGTTGTTTAACCCTGTACACGGCCCCAGATCCTTTCTCCACTCATCCATTGTGCTGCTTAAAACTGTAGCATGGCTTCCCGCTTGAGTGATGCTTGGCTGCCAGGCCTTGTCCCTCTGGCTTCTACCTACTTGTCTAACCTCCTCTAACCTCCTCTTACAGGGATCTGAGCTCCACTCAGACTGGCAGTCACTCATACTTCCGTTTCTCTCCCCTGTCACAGGACCTTTGCACATGCTGTTATCTCTCCCTGGAACTCAATGGCACCTAGTCATCTTGTGTACATCCTTTAGATCCCAGCTCGCTTTGGAAGCCCTCCCAACTTCTCTGACCACAGCGAACCTCCACAGCCTGCCATGTCACTGTGGATTTCCACTTCCCTGCCCTGGCCACCATGGTGATCTTGTGACCATTTGGTAAATCTCCATTTGTCCCACCAGAGGGTTAAATCCCTGAGGGCAGAAACCCCCTATGATGTGCCGGACCACTGTATGCCCAAAGCCCATCACGGTGCCCGGCACACAGGCGGAGATCAGTGCAGACAGAGCATTTCAGCAGCAACTACGTGGAGGCAGCTACCTCAATACAGCGCCACATCGAAACGTGGGCATTTTACACGAATTGGGCACTATCGGGGTAAGCTGTGACCTATGATGATACCTCCTTCCTTTGGCCCCTGCCTCACCTCGGCTCCATCAGAGACCCTTTGGACGCGACCTTCTGGGGTCCTGGGGCAAAACGGCCTGGGTGAGTCATCCATTTGCCCAAAGAGCTCAACCCAAAGGGATCCTGACCAAGGTCAGGCCCCCGTCAGGTGTGTGGCTGGAGCTTTCCTTTCCTTTACTGGCCTCCCGATAGAGCAAGACCACGCCCAGTGAAGTCTGTACCCTGGAAGGATTTGGAGCCTCTTCGATTGAGCCCCTTCTGGGGAGGCTGAGTTCGGAAGGCTCACACTCTCCTCTGCAGCTCTGGCAGAAGGCCGGCGCTGGAGTGCTGGGGGGAGGGACCTGGCTGTCACGTGGTCCCACCTGTCCCAGCTCCGGCGTGGAGGCAGAAGCCCGGGGAGGCTGCAGGACATGCTGGGAAGTGAGGCTGAGCCACACAGTCTGCCTGGAGCCCCGCTTCCTCTCCCACTCGCCCGTCACTCCAACACGCGCTCTGTGACTCAGCCTCAGATCCGCCTGACCTCTCGGTGCGAGGCAGCCCTGGGCGACTTGGCGGCAGATGGCTGAGGTGTGTGACCTGCTTGGTGAGGGGCATGTCCTAGCTTCCATGGCACCGAGGGCATGCAACGTGGCCACAGGCTCTTTGCAGGAAGACTCTCTGCAGTAGCTTGAGTCTGGGTCCTGTGATCAGCCGTGGCCCGTGGGGGCAGGTAAAGCACATGTGCGCCCTGGGGCATGTCCTCTCGCGCCACCCCTACGCACCCTGCTGTGTCAAGGAGCCAGGAGGACCCAGTCTCCTTGCTGCTGGACGTGTGAGTGAAGACGCCCTAGACCGTCTGCAGCCGCCAAGCCAGCGCACGTGCACACGGAACCGGGCCACGGAACCGTGAGCCGATCCTGGACAAATAGTGGCTGTGCCCAAGCCACTGAAGTCTCCGTTGGTTTGCACTGCATCAAAAGCTGATCGATGCGCTCCTTTGCATCACCAGCCTGTGCTCAAATGTCAGCTCCTCAGGCCTCCCCTGACCACACGAGCTCAGGCGGCGCCCCCGTCACTCTCCACTTCGTCTTTTGTCACAGCGCTTACTACCCAACCGCGTAGTCTACTTATCTGTTTGCTTATGTGTTTTCTTGACTTCCCACTAAGACAGGAGCTCCCTGAGGGGAAGGGCTCTGTTGACCTTGTTCCCTGTCATATCTCCAGAGCCTAGAACAGCATCTGGGAGCCAGATACGGTCAATAAAGTTTTTTGTTTTACTTTTAAATACCTGCAGGTAAATGGATCAACATAAAATCATTGAGGGTTGCCAAGTTCATAGTTAATGGTAAAGGAATATTTATTGATCATCTACTATGTGTAAAGCCCTGTCCTTGGATTTGGAGATTCGAGGGTCAACACACAGCACCATCTCTCTAGAAGCTTCCGTTGCGGTGAAGGCTGACAAGAAGCACAGAACAGACACACAAATACGACACGTCCGCAGAGCTATGAGTACCATGAAGAAAACAAGACACGGTGTGGGGGGGGCAGTGACATCTCTGAGGTGGCGACACTGGGGCTGAGGCCTGGGGGAGGGGTGAGAGGCCGCCATTCTTCAGCATTTCTGGAAGAACATTCGAGGCTGAGAGGATAGCAAGGGCACTGGCTCTGGGATGGGAACCAATGTGATCTGAGGTTAGAACCAAGTAATCGAGGGGGGGCAGTGAATCAGAAGGTTGGGCAGGGGCTGGCTCATGTCCTGAAGTTTGGATTTTCTTCTCCCCGGGATGAGAAGCCCATGGAAGGGTGGACTTTGAATTTTTTTTAATGTTTATCTATTCTTGAGCAAGGGAGAGACAGAGACAGAGCGAGAGAGAGCAAGCGAAAGCGTGAGGAGGGGAGGGGCACATTGAGAGGGAGACACAGAATCTAAGCAGCCTCCAGGCTCTGAGCTGTCAGCACAGAGTCTGATGCGGGGCTTGAACTCATGGTCCGTGAACTCATGACCTGAGCCAAAGCTGGACGCTCAACCGACTGAGCCCCCTAGGCGCCCCTCAGGATCTGTTTTGGAGGCAGCACTGCAGGCTTCTCAATGGCTTGTGCAGAAGTGAGGGAAAGACACGACATTTTCTGACCCATGAGACAGAGTGGCTATGATTTCCACTCCCGAGAGGCAGCGTGCATGGAGGTGGAGGAGGCTGTGGACTTGAGGGAAATCACCGCGAGGGAGCACCGCCGCCTGCCCCGGGGGAAACAGACGGCTCCCCAGCTCTCCCTGGACGCCCCTTGGCTTGCCTGGCATGAGGCACCGCTGGCACATCTAATTTGGGTTTTGCTCCAAAAGCGTCTGCTCTCCTGTTTGAGCTAATATTCACGTTCCATATTCATTTTCCTCTGGTGTATCAATTAGTATTTATATAAATGGAAATTAATTTTGTTATTTCTCTCCCACGTTTCAACTCTCTCAGCTACTTTCCTATTCATCCCTGCTGATATTTGCAAAACGCCCCAAATTAGTGTCATCTGCAAATTAGCAAGTCATATATCCCCTTTCAAAACATTAATAGGATTGGCCGTATTTACCCACCCCAGCGCACACCCCCCCGGGCCACGTTAGCAAAGCTCTCTCCACTCGCACAGGCTGGCGAAGTGGGTTTAGGATTTTAGAGGCAGCAGGGAAAACAAAAAGGTTCAGGGAAGAGAGACTCAGAAATCGCATGGCTCTGAAAGTGCAAAGGCTGCGTGGTCAGGAGGCTCTTCTCTCTACCACACTGAGAAGCAGAAAAATCACACTTTCCCTCTAGCAAGAAGGGCTCTGAGCTCTACTCCAGGGCAAAATTCCCAGTGGCATTGAAATGACATTTGCGAGAAAGGTCAGAAGCTGGTTTGGTGGGAAGGACATTTACAGACAGGGTCTTTGGGGAAATCAGCAGGAAGGGGACAGCGGCTGCTTGCGGCCAGCCTTCCTTCCTTGCTTTTCTGGCTTTGGCATTCTGACCTCCACTACGACACTGGGTGGCTGCCTCTCACCTCTGGCTTCAGGGGTGGGCCTCTGACCCCGACTCCCTCCCCGCCGTGGTGACTGGTTTGTGGGTGAGCATGTGACCCAAACCAGGCCCAGGAGACCCGATTCTGGAACCACTGTTGGACTCCATGGGAACAGAAGCTCTCATTTATCCAGGACGGCCGGGCAGGAAGGGAACGCAAAGCCAGAACTTCCAGAAGCCCTTGGGCGGCCAGGGTCTAAAGACAGGAGAGAGCGAGAGAGGGCAGAGGGTGGGAGGGACACATGAAGGCTTGATGAGGTCATTTGCACACTTGAATCTGGCTGCGTGGACGGACTGAGAACTGAGGGTCCGGGGAGATGGCACAGGGAAAGCCTCAACATGGTGCCTGAATGGGAGACAAAACCATACCCCAAACCAGGCTCTCGCCTGCACTAGGTTGGTTCTAAAAAGTCTCTGTTGTCCGAAAGCAATTGAGAGTGTTCTGGAATGTAAGGATGTGTGGGGATTCAAAGTGAGGCATGTTCCCCTCTTTTAAGAGGGAATTCGTCTTTGTGCAGCGAGGGAGGGAGAGATGGTGCTCGCTCGGCACGTGGGCAGGCTTCCCTGGGGAGGAGGTGGGCGGCAGCGCGGCCCCGAGAAAGGGGGTGCAGAGGGGGCTGTCGGCACGGCCGGGTCCCGGCCCAGGACTGCAGGGCTCAGTCCCCCAGGGGAGGGCAGGCTGATGGCTCACAGCTGAGTCCTCCCACACGCGCTGCCCTTGGCCTTGGCGCTCCCTGCGCGTCACAGATACAGGTGTATGAAGGCCTGGCCCCCAGGACAACTCCAAGGGGACTTCGCAGCTCCATGGCTCCCCGTGCAGCTGGCAGAGGCCTTGAGGTGACGGCACGAGGCCTGGCTCCTCGCTTGTCGGTCCTGCTCGCTGCCCTCCCTCAACTGCAGGCCCCAGGGGAGTCTGGCTGGTATGGCTGCAAAGGACTAGCCGACCGGGCCTCCTTGACGGGGGCCCGGGAACGGGAGTCAGGGGGCATGTCACTCAGCCAGGACCTCGGGCCTGAAGATTCTCCAGGACGCAGAGGTCCTTACACACAGCAAGGGAGGAACTGGCCGGAAGGATAAGTGGGAAAGGAAGAGGGAACAGACACAGTGAAGCCCAGATGGGATTTGCTCAGAGGCCACAAACCAGCAGCCCATGGGCTGAATATACAACACATATTGTTTGGCTCGTATGGTGTTTACACATAGCATAAAATTAGGCTACTGACATGTAAAACTTTGGAGATTTCACATAACAATTCCGATTTCCAGACTTCTCAGAAGACCCGGCGTCCTGGATTGGTATTCCTGCCCCCCCCCCCCCCCAGCCCCCCGCCGTCTGGAGCAGGGAGGGTGCAGATTTCCTTTGTGGGTGTGCCTGAGCTTGTAGGGACAGCCCAAACCACTCTATGGCAGACACCCTGGGGTCTCTTCTGGCTCTTACAGCTGCTCATTCCATGCTTTCTGGGCTTCTGCTGCAGCCTCCTGGCTCAGGGCCACAACTAACCCAGAAGGTGTCTGCATGCAAGATGCAAAAGTGCCCTTCTGGAAAAGGCTGACTGCAGAGAGGTCCCCCCTCCTCTGAAATGATGTGGCTCCATCCCACAGCTTGGCGTCTCTGTGCAGTATACAACCTGCCCAACTGTCCAGGGAAGCCCTGCCCCAGGTGGCCATGACTGCCCCGGGCCCTTGACGGTCCTCCTTCTACCAGACACTGGCCCAAGAGAGGATACTCACAGATCCCATGGTAGATGCCTGGCTCTGGTGTGGTTACCTCAGGGACAGGGGGAATGAGTGGTGGCTCTAGCTCCGGGACCTACACACAGGTTGGGGGAGAAGCAGAGAGGAAGAGGGCGATGTCAGTGACAACCTGCGCAGCTGGTTGGCCATTTTACCAGATACTGCTGTCCACCCTGAGCCCCAGGTAGTCCCTGTGTCCTTTCTTGCATCTTCTGCCATCGTGGAAACTCCGTGTTGGGTAACATGTGCAGACCCGGAAGTCCTCGTGTGTCTGAGTTCTCACCAGCAGCTCTTATTAGTGGGGGAGGAGTCTGACATCACCAGCTAAGGTGATCAGAGTTTCTGGAATAGGGAAGGACCCAGTAAATACCTAGGGAGCCAGAGGGAGGAGGATGAGAGAAATCAGGAGGGAGAGATAAAGAGGAGAAAGAAAAATTTCAACCACAGAAAGTGGTTCTCAACCACGGGCCTGGGAGTCTCATTTTTTAAAAAATGTTTATTTATTGTGAGAGAGTGAGCATGGGTGTGTGCGAGCTGGGGAGGGCCAGGGAGAGGGAGGGAGGGAGTCCCAAGGGGGCTCCAGGCTCAGCGCGGAGCCGGATGCAGGGCTCCATCTCACAACTGTGAGATTTTTCCTGAGCGGAAATCAAGAGTCAGATGCGCAGCCAACTGAGCCACCCAGACGCCCCTGGGCACCTGGATTTCTAGAGCTCCCAGGTGAGTCCTGTGGGAAACCAGGAGGAAGGACACTTCCTCGGTCTATAGGGGGTTAAAGTGAGCAGCCACACCCTCCCTCCTGGGTCTCATGTATACATTGCGCTCATTAGATCTCTACAGCATAGGTTAGGGCAAGAAGGCCTTTACTGCTTTGCAGACAGGAAAGCTGAGATGCAAAAGGAAGGGAAGTTGCTTGTCTGGATGTTAAGAGTTTTCGTACGGATGGTGTTTCGGTCCCAGGAGCGAAATACTGGATCCTTCAGCCCAGCCCATAGACACAGCCTCTTCCGGCCCTTTCCCGCCTGGCTGTGGGGAGGGGGGTGGGGAGGGTGGTCCGCTAGAAGCATCCGTGACACGGGGCAGCCTCGGGTCACCAGGGAAGGAGGCTGCCCTGCTCTCCGCCCTCCCCGAGCCTCCTGGGACGCCCCCTGGTGGATGTGCTGACCTGAACACCCAGACAGGTGGGGAGCACCTCTAGCCCTGTCACCTCCTAGGCGGGGGTGACACTGGCTTCCCAGAACTCAGGTCCCTCATCCCTGAGACTGGGACAGATTCCTTCCTGTCCTGCACAGGCTGCGTGTGATCAGAGACCCTTAGAAGCATCTGGAAAATGATGGGCACGTGAAAAGCTCTCAGGTCAGCTCCCAAATGGGGAACCAGGGCTCAAATCCAGACCACAGGCGTGCCGTGGCTCACAGAAGGTTTGAAAGCATCTCCCTTACTTGCCAACTGGGAGTTGTTTTAATTGGGGCAGAGTTTACATCAAAACCCAGATTGCTGGCTCCTCTCGAAAAAAAATCAGGACAACTATCAACATGAACCAGCCAACTCCTGTCTCAGGGCAGGGGTGGAGGGCAGCTACTTCCTTAAAAGCGGGAACCTCGGCACCCCTCAGTCTTGTACAACACTTTGCCTGGGCCCTGCGGGCTTTTACCCCCAGTGAACAGTGAGGGATCCACTCGCCAGGTCCTCCTGACCTTGCCAGCACCGCCTTCTGTCCTTTGGATTCTAGTGGACCCCCTCCCCCCCTCCCCTCTGTAACCATCTCCTCTTTCCCCTTAGGGCCTCAAGAACATCTCTGGGGATTCTGGCTGTTTTGATTGCTGGTCCTTCACTTGGACTGACCCTTCCCCTGAAGGTCGTCTTTCATTTCTTAAAAAAAATTGGTTGATCAGTTAAAAACACAGACTTTGGAGTTAAGTCTGGGTGGCTCAGTCAGTTCAGTGCTGGCTCAGGTCATGACTTTGTGGTTGGTGAGTTTGAGTGCATCGGGCTCTGTGCTGACAGCTCGGAGCCTGGAGCCTGCTTCAGATTCTGTGTCTCCTCTCTCTCTCTACCCCTCCCCTGCTTGCTCTCTCTGCTCTCAAAATAAATAAACACTAAAAAAAAAAAAAAAAAAAAAACCCTTAAAAAAAAAAGCACAGATCAGAGTCCTACATTCAAGTTCAAACCTGGTTACTCTCCTGCTGTGTGCCCTTGGGCAAGTCACTTTACCTGTCTGAGCCTGGGTTTCCTAAACGGGGGTTTTGATGGTCTCTACCTGGTGAAGCACGGGATGCATGGTGCTCCATGCCTACATTCCAATACGCACGTGGGAAACGATCACTGGGATTATCGTTATCTTAATTCTAAGTCTGCCCGTTAAGAGCGTTTCTAGTCCATTCCGTCAAAAACAACGGTGAGTGATCAAAACACAACCCAAAGCAAAAGTCCCCGCCGAGACTGCCAACCTCTAAATTACAGAGATGGCGCAGAGCTGCTTTCTCCTAGCTTTGATTAAAATTTGAATACTTTCTTCACTCTGGTTAAAAAAAAAATAAATAAAATAAAAAATAATTAGAGAATGAAATATGACATACAGGACCCAAAAATGAAGTAGAAAAATGGGAAATGTCAAAACAGTAGCACCAGCAGCTTAAAGGCTATCCATCTTCATTCCTCCTGTTCTACTCGGCGTGGGGAGAAGAAATCTCTCGGGGGTGCCCCCCGCCTCCCCCCACCAGCCCTACCCGGTCCTCAGCCCACGAGCCCGCCTGGGTGTAGGGCCTCTCCTCCCCGTCGCTGTCGGCGGTGCTCGGCCTCCTCAGCGTCTCCGCGCTCCGCAGGCCGCAGGGACCCTGCACGTCCATGTCAAATGTCTCATCGGAACAGAATATGGCCTCCAGGATGTCATCGTCGGTTGTGAATAAGATGGTGTCTCCAAAGTGCTCTGGGGCTGGGTGGGTCACGAGGAAGACAGAAGAGTCAACTCACCCCAAACCCACGTGGTTTGTAAGACCAGGAACCCAAACCCACCACCCTTTGTGCTAGAAAATCCCAAACCACCAAGAGTCCCCATGGTGTAAGCAAGCCCCGTTATTTATTATTCACATGCCACAAATGGCCTTCCCAAGTCCTAGGAGCCACTTAGATCTAATGATGGGGTCTAACCTACAGAGAGTCACGGTGGTCGGTCCTGAAATAGGTGTGGGTGATGCATCCTGGCAAGATGCTGTTGGGACCCCACCCAGGTCCCTGCTGAGGCCTTTTTGTGGGGCTGGAGGCTTGCCTAGAAGGGTGTGGGAGTGAAACCCCCAACCAGGGGGGCTCGCAGGATTCCAAAGCTGTCCAAAGGGCAGAGAATGCAATTTATGCTCCAGAGCTCCCTCGGGGTCAGGCTGAGGCTGGGCTCCCCCAAACCGTATCCTTGCCTGGTTTCCCCTCACTTCTATCCTGTCTCCCTCCTTAGACCACAGCCTCTTTTGGGAGCACCCCTTCAATAAGTCGCTTACAGAAGGATCCCCCCCTCCTCCGACTGAGGTGCTAGGGAAGCTGACTGAGGCCGGTGCCCAGAGGAGGAGTTTAAATGAGGCCAGCAATCCTGTGCACCCCCGGGCACCCCAGTGTACCCCCGGGCACCCCCATGTGCCTCTGCGTACCCCAGTGCACCCCCATGCTACAAAAGGGGAGGAGTGGGCCAGGCCTAGAAAGAGGAGAGACCCATCTGTCACTGGCTAGCCAGGGTCTCTAGCCTTTCCCCAGAACGACAGCGGGTAGCAGGTAGAGGCTTCCAGAACATTCTCACAGACATACCGTACCTCCTGTCAGGGTCCCCGAGGCCTTGGCGATTTCTCCTTTAAAGATGCACTGTGCGTCTAACAGCATGGTGATGTCCTTCACGCCACGGAAGGAATGTATCCGAGACTTATTGTAGTTCCAGATGCGGACCAGGGCCACCTGGCAAGGGTGCGCGAAGTCTATGGAGATGGAGTGGGGCTTGCCCAGCGTGAAAGGGGCCAGCCACACATGCATGTCGTCCTGGGTCCTGTTCACCCCGTCGATGAGGTTGCTGACCACGCGAGGGTCCTTCCCATAGGCTGGCAAAATATTGATGTCGGGCGGGTCTGCCTGAATGTTGGCGATCTGCACGGGCTCCCCCTTGGAACTGAATATTTCTATTCCGTTAAGGCCAACATAGTGCCGGTCCCCCCATGTCGACTTGATGTCAATGACCAGGCGCTGCCCGTAAGGCAAGACGGGGATTTCGAAGTCGCTGCCGTCGTCTGTCTCGGTGGAAACTTCCTCCCGGCCTCTCCTTGGCTCCAGTGTCTCTTCCTTCCACGGGGCCGGTGGCTCGCCGTGCCGGCTCATCTTCTGCTGCTGCAGGAACTCGTCTAGGACATCCCCCTGCAGCTCCAGGTTGGAGATGCGTCCCCGGTGGGAGCGGTCAAAGGCACTGAGGGAGTCCCAGGACTCATGCAGCGTGTGGTCCTGCTCACTGCACCTGCGGGGCCGGGGTGGCGTCTGGGTGGACCGGGCATCTTCTGGAAGGATGCAGGAGGGGCGAAGCCCTGTTAGTGGCCTGGGAGCAGGCAGGGACCTTTATAGACTGTCTCCCCCAGGGGGTTACCCCCGGGGAGGGGATTCTAGAGATCAGCGGGGTGGCTCTTGGGGTCTCGATGCCTAGAGGCCCTGCCTTTGGTGAGTGGGACCCAGATGTTAATATCCTGCCCTGCGCGGGACAGCTGGGGCCTCTGGCTGGTAAGAAATGGAGATTCAAGTCTACAATCTGGTTGTTTTACAAAAAGTGAAGTATTTCTCAATATACTTCGAATTTTCTGAAGTTTATTTATTTTGAGAGAGAGAGAGAGAGAGAGAGAGAAAGCACGAGCAGGGAAGGGCAGAGAGACAAGGAGAAAGAGAAGCCCAAGCAGGCTTTGCACCGTTGACACAGAGCCCGACACAGGGCTCGAACTCACAAACCACAAGATACGGCCTGAGCTAAAACCAAGAGTCGGATGCTTAACCATCCGAGCCACCCAGGTCTCCTGATAATATCTTTTAATTTTCTAAGAACGCAACCACCACACAAATTGAGGGAAGACACTTTGGTGTGTGAAAACCTTTGCTGGAATCATCCTCACACAACAGGCGCGGGCACTGCCACTGCCGGTGGCGCCTGAGTCAGCAGCCAGAGGGTCTGCGCTGAGGCTGTTACATCACGTGACTTTGGACCGTGTTTTCAAAGACTGCCTCATGGCAGGTGGAACCCTCGTGAAAGAATGCTAAATGGGAAAAAGCCAGAATTGCTATGTCAGACGCAGCAGATCCTGGGGGCCGGGGGGGGGGGCGGGGGGGGGGGGGCGGTGTGCGCTGACGTGCTAACCTGATCGTCTGGGACGTGTCACCTGATCTTCTGAGTTCCCGAGATGCGTTATTTTTATAGTCAGGAAAAAGTGCTATAAAAACCGCTAACAACACAGGTATATTATAAGCAAGGAATTCACTTCTGCACGTGGCTAGCTTGGCTTCCAGATCGGAAGCCCAGGTCCCCAGCACATGGAGAGCACAGTCCGGCCCTCAGAGGGGCGCTCCGAAGGCTGCAGTCTCCTTGTTGCTGGACAGAAGGGCCCCGGCGTGCGCACCAAGCAGCAGCTTATCCTCGCGGCCATGGCTAACTGCCGTGTAAGGGTGTCATTCTGGAAAAACAGCAGCTGATGACACTGACATTCTGTTTTTTCTCCTTTCATATCGGATTGTGTCCTGCACTCCATTTTCTGCCTGTCTCCTAGGGGGCCCGGCTCCATCAATTATCCCCTCTCTCCAGAACCCTCCATCATCTCTTCCCACTGGCACCTTGCCCTCTCTCTGCCTGCAGACGTGCATAAATCTCTCCTACCTGAAAGAAAAAGGAAGCCCGACCTGATCTCGTGACTTCCTCCAACTGCCCCCCCCCCCCCATTTTCTCTTTCCCTTTGCTGCGGCCACTATGTCCTCCCTCAAGCCCTGCAAGCTGTTTGGCTCATCCAAACCCCACTTGCCCTTCTCCTGATTTTCCTTTGGGGACCACCCCACCTTCAGACCATCCAGATTAGGCAAATGCTGACAGCGCCCTTCCAGGCTGGGAAGGGAGCTATGGAGAGAGAGGGGCTCAGTTTAAAGTGGCGCCCGGGGGCGGTGGCCGGCTCGCTACACTGTGGGCGGAGCCTGCCTGACAATGAAGCCAACACAGGGGACCTGGCCCAGAGGTGGAGAGAGACAATGACATCATTGGAGCCCCTGGATCCAGCCATGCCTCAAGTCAAACCCCTGGTGGCTTTCTGTCCCTTGCCTCCATTAAGAGTCCTAGAATTCCCAATTCCCCTGATTGGACCTTCTGCAGCTACACAATGACTCCGTGTACTCGATCTTTCCTCAGTCCTCACGCTCCACATCCCAGGCACAGCTCCTCCACCTGACGGTCCCTCCTCTACTCTCTTAGGAGCGGTGGCACTTTCGGGCTCTGCTGCTGCTGCTGTCAGCCTCCCCAGCCCTGGCCCTGCCTCAGGCCTCTGCCCCATCTGGGCTCACCCGGCCAGCTCCTGGCTGCCAGGCGGGCAATGCTCAATTTTCTACGTCACATTCTGGCTTCTCTCCCCCAGCCACCGCCTACCGGTTCCAACAACCCCTTGGAAGGCTGAGGCATGTCCACTCTGTCACCTCAAACTCTGTGTGCCTAGAAGGGAATCTGTCCTCAGACCTTCCCATTGGACGATGTCTACTGCGCTGGGAAACATCTAACTCATCCCCGTGACGCCAAGCCTCACACCTCTCCCCCTGACGATCAGCTCTGCCGGGTGCGCCTTTCTGTTCCCTGGACGCACCAAGTCTCTTCCTGCCTCTCCCTGTTGTGCCCTCTCCCAGGAATGCTCTTCTCCCGGATCCCCACATGCCAGCCCACCTGGTCCCCGTCTCCTCCTTTGCCCCTTGGTGCGTCTCAGTGCCTCAAATAGACCCAGCCGCGTAGCTCAGTGCACGTTTGCTAGCACAGGGACCGCTGGCTGGCATCACCATCACGCCACCCCTGGGTTCAGGCCCGCAGCCGAGGGACCCTCCCCTCCACCTTGCACCTGTCCTCTCCCCTCCTTCTCATCTGCCATCAAAAAAGGCCCTAGGAGTTTCCTCCTTCTTTTCCTCTGGGCACAAGGCTTAACATCTGGCAGGAGGAACTTCCCATATGCATCGTCATGACATCAGGTTATTGTGATTTGATTTCTACTGACTGAAATGAACGGCCCAAGGGCTGGTCTGCAAGCGTGCGCGGGAGGAGGCAGAACAGACGTCATGTGTTGGGGACTCAGCCTGTGGTTCTCGGCCAGAAAGGCAGGGCTCTGCTCTCATTCTGTGTCTGCTTGCTGATTTATTCTCCCTGAGATGTCCGCCCCGGGTGTTGAACGCAGAGAGGGGCGGGCCTCCGCCTGGACCTCTCAGATGTGAGGCAGGCTGGCCCGCGTTTCCTTCTGTCTGCAGAAGGTGCTGATCACCAGTCCCCGGGAGTTGGGGAGCTGCCTGCATCCGTGCTTTGTCTTTGTCAACATCCCTCCCCACAGCCCTGAACAGACACCAGGAAGCTGCTGCTTTCACGTGCAGTCGACACAGTCTGGGTGGAGGGCCCTCGCATGAGATGGCGGATTGAAGGTTTACAGCTATCTCTTGGTGGATGGAGGTATATGCTAACTGTTACTAACACAGGAAATGAAAAGGAATGTAGACATGACAGAACCATACGCGGTCAAGGTGAACAGCCCACCGGCCACAGCCGATTGCACAAAGCGTGGTCACCTGACCCAAGTCGGCCAATCAGCGTCTCCCGTGAGACTTTAGGAGCAAGAGCTGGGAAACTGTCGCCCTCTGGTGGTGAGGCCGTTCCCCGCCCTGTGCACAGAGCCCAGGAAGCTGACCTCATGAGGAAGAGTGAGGGAAAGTGTCAGAGGCAGGGCCTGGGGCGTCAGGGCAGGGTCTCCTGGGTGCACGCTGGCTTTCTGGAGGGCCAGTGCTCCCGCTGGGCAGATGTGATTTCATCCACCCAGAGCGAATGGACCTCTGATGCAGACCCTTCCAAGATGTGGATGACATTATAATGGGATGCTCTGTTGGACAAAAGGATTTCCAGGCTCTGGCTTTTGGTGACAACACGACTGAGTCCCAGGGAAGAACTCGGGAGGTCGTTCATTCTACAAGCGTCGTTGGAGGGCTCGGCCGGTGCCTTTCCTGAAGGGCACGGCTGTGGGATTTGGCTCTATGTAATGGGTAATTTAAAATTTCTCAGCAACTTTCCTTTTTAGCATGACTGGCTTAACAAGCATTAAATCTCAAGGGCTCGGTTCTTAATGTGTCATTGAGCCAAGCAGTGAAATGCCTGGAAAGAAATTAAAATGAGAGAAAATCTTTTGAATGTGGACAAGTTAGAATAACACCCGTCACCTCGGAGCTCCCTGAGGTTGTGAGGGTCTGTTTACAGGGAAGGCTCTGCCGTGTCTGGCCCTCCTGGGCAGGGAGGGGCTGCGGAGATGGGGCACCATAGGATGGCAGTTCGAGGTATGGATGCTGAGGCAGGGTGGCCTGGGTTCAAATCCTGCTCTGAGCCTCCCTGGCTGTGTGACCCAAGGAGAGTTACTTAAACCTCACATTTTCTTCATCTGTAAAACAGGGCTGGCGCCAGGGAGAGAACGAGGCTCATCTGAGTAACGTGCCGGGCTGAGAGCCTAGCTTAACGCACACGCGCGCATCCAGCCACGGCAGTTCCTGCCTTAGCCACCCTTCCCTCACTGCAGAGGACCCCCCCCACGTGTCAGGCCCTTGGGCCCCGGGGATCCTGACACAGATGCGACACAGTCCCTGCCCTCAAAGAGCAGCCCCCACGTCCACTCTGCTCTCCTCCTTGACACCCAGTCTCAGGGTGCAGTCCAGGTGTGGGTGGGAGCAGAAGTCTGTAAGGCTGGGTAGTGGGGGAGGGAGAGAGCTCTGCCTGGAGGAAGGGAGTCCATCGCTCATGAGGAAGAGCACCCTGAGTCCAAGGGACTTGCCCGGGTGCTCTAGGTGACATCAGGGGTCTGAAAGAGGCCACCAACTCTGGATGTCTGAGCGTAGACATGGGCTGAATGCAGACCTTTGGGGTTTTTTTCAGCTTATTTATTTGAGAGAGCGAGTGGGGGAGGGGCAGAGAGAGAGGAGGAGAGAGAATCCCAGGCAGGCTCTGCACTGACAGCACAGAGCCTGATGGACTCCAGCCCACGAACCGTGAGATCATGACCTGAGCTGAAATCAAGAGTCCGACGCTTAACTGACCGAGTCCCCCAGGCGCCGGGGGTCTGCCTTCCCGATGGTGATGGCACAGATGGCGACCGGATTCACTAGGAAACAGCTACCCTGGCTTCACACACAGATACACCAGGAGGCAGAATCACAGGGCGGGGGTGGCGATGATTAATACCAGCAACTAACACCTTCTGGGTGCCCTTGTGTTCTAGACACTGCACACGTATGACTTCATTTTATCCTCCCACGAGGAGGGGCATTACTGGTCTCATTTTACAGACGAGGACACTGAGGCTCAGAGGGGTTTCAGAACTTGCCCATTGTGTGAGTTGGTGGGGAACCAGGATACGTGCTCAGGTGGTCTGACTCTGGGACTCATGCTCCTGTGCGGTGTGGGGGCAGGGTTCCACTCAGGGGACTTAGGACCTGGTGCTTGTGAAGCACTTCCCACACGCCAGGCTCCGGCTACTGCGTGAAGCCATCGGCTCATTCATTCCTCACAACACTGAGAAGGGGGAGGCGGTCTATTCCCATTTTACAGATGAGGACACCAAGGCACAGAACGTGGACATGCCAGGCTCTGTAAGTCCCAGCCTAGAGGTACCAGATCTAGAAGTGGCAGTGGCTGGATTCCAATGGTTTGACCCCTGGCAGCTCTGCTACTCACCTTCCCAGCAGCCAAATCTGAGTGCAAATAGTCAGAAACCCAGCCTTTGGTACCCTCCCTTCTGAGTGCTCGCATACAATCTACTGCAAAGTTCACAAACCAGGGGACTCCTCCCAGCAGATTTTTTTTTTTGACCCACATAGTGGTTTAAAAATAGTATCAATCAGTTGCCAATGTTGAAAAATAATATTGTCCATTTCTGATTTCTCTTCATAAAAGGAGAAGGGAGGGGCGTCTGGGTGACTCAGTCGGTTGAACATCTGACTTCAGCTCAGGTCACGATCTCATGGTTTGTGGGCTTAGGCCCCACATGGGGCTCTGTGCTGATGGCTCAGAGCCCGGAAGCCTGCTTCCGATTCTGTGTCTCCCTCTCTTTCTGTCCCTCCCCGCTCTCTCTCTCAAAAATAAACATGAAAAAAGATTTTTTAAATAAAAATAAAGAGAAAAATAAATCAAAGGGGAAGGGAGATCTGGCACACTGGCCTGGCGTTACCGTATGCCAAAAAGCATTCTGAGCCCAGTAGCGGCCGCCCCCTTCAGGTGGGCTGGCGCTCTCCAATGCGACAGTCCTCACCCTTCCCTATAGCGCTTCCGACACCCAGGCAAGTGTCAAGTGCTCTTTATCATTACACTTGTGTTATTTTTCTGATGCCACAGTTAAGAATAAAGTGAAGCCATTAGAGCCCAATGTCTCCATCAGAGGTCGAATGACAAAGACTAGACTAGAAAAGCCACGTTGCAAGAAAAACGGGCCAAGGGGACAGAAGTCGATGGCAATAACAAATATATCGGGGAGCTTAAGGTGCAGAATGTGTCTTGCCCGTTCTCATTACTGCCACCTCTGTGGCCCCTGAGACAGTGAATTTGTGACCAAGGGGGCTGAGAAGAACCCCCTTGCTTTGCAGATGAGGACACCCTCATCTGGGGGAGGGAACAGAGGTCCATGGAGCGAAATGCGATCATGGGGATCGGCGGCCTGCACTCAGGGACAATGGCACCTGAGTCAGACCGCTTGTCGAGCTTACCTCTGCTGGGTGGCTGGGTGTCACTGGGACCGCTGCTGAGGGCGTCCTTCCTCGGGCCCCTCCTCCCACTGGCAGGGTGCTCTCTGTTGGAGGGCTGATTAAAGATGTCGAAGTCGTCACAGACTGTGGGGGTCACTTTCTGGACTCTCTCCCCAGCGACGACATTCCAGCTGCTCGCTTGCCCTTGCTCACGCCGGGGGCCTTTGTCCCCGAGCTCGGCCTCTTGAGGACCCTCCCGGGGGTCAATGAGGTCATCTGGCGGAAGCCTGCCTTCCCGGTCCAGTGGCTTCTCAGGACTCAGCCAGAGGGGTTTTGGCTTCCTGACCCCCTGCTTCCTGCCCTGCCCTGTGGCGGAAGGTTGCAGCCAGGATGGGGTCTTTGCTGGTGTCTCGGAGGCTTTTCTGCCTGTGAGGTTTTCCAGCTGTTGGATCAGAGAGAGCTCTGGGTCAAGGGGAGGGCATTCCACAGCTGGGCGGAGGGGGGGAGCCCAGGGCATGCCGCCCATCGAGGCTGGCGCCGCTATTAAGCTCGTGTCTTCGTTTAACTTGGACAAATTGTCTTTCCTGCAACGGGGAGGACTCATCTTTTCACCAAACGACTTTCCCTGAAGAGAAACCTTCACATCTACCGCTGCTCCCGCTGGCTGGGAACACTCCCGATCTGTGCCGACCATCTTGCAGGCATCTCTTTCTCCCGAGGGGGCCCTCTCCATTCTTCCCTCCTTCTCGTTCCTCGGGCCAACCAGGACGCTCAGGTCAGCCGGCCCCTCTCCACCCCCTCTGTCCAACGTGCCATCGAAGATGAGATTTTTATTGACATAAAGCTTCATGTTCTTGGCGCCAATGTCAAGATCCTGAAAACACAAAATTTAACAAAAATGAAGCTGCGTGGCATCGGGCTGACGTATCACATTTTGGAAGTGGCAGATCAGAAAGAAAAATGTGGAATGCTGGAAACGAGAGCCTTAAAAAAAAAAAAAAAAAAAAAACCCACAGCACCAGGGATGTTAAATAAGGCGAGTGTCATTTCTGTGTGAACTGTTACATACTTTATAAATCAAAGGACTTTCACAAAGAGACGGCCCCAATTGCTGTCTTCTCACCATTACTCCCTGCTGGGACATTGGTAATAGCCTGCTAATTGGTCTCCCTGCTGCCTGTCTCTCACTGCCTTCCACCTCGACTTCACATTGCCACTGTCTACAAGAGCGGATCCGACCAGACCCAGTCACTCCCCTTCCTGAAGCTGTTCTTGTTTTTCACGGCCTGTTCATTACTGTATGGTTCCTGGGACCCCTGCATCAGGGAAGCCTGATGTGCACATGAAACTCACAGCCCCTGTTTCTACGGGTGTCATATTTCGGGTGCCCTGAAAGCGGAGCCTGAAGCAAGGGTTGAGTACAGGTTGCTTATTTGGAAGCTGTCCCCAAGAGGGAGTTGGGATTGTAAGCTAGGGTGGGAGAAACCCCCCCCGCCCGCCACCGGCGGTTTTTGAGCCGGTCCCGGCTGTCTGCAAACGGGGTTCCATTCCGCTGTGGCACTCAGAAGAACCCACACAACTCAGAGGTACCCCTCCCAAGGTGGAGGCTGGAGTGTCTGTCCACTGACCCCCTGCCCCGCTGCTGACGGCTGCCCCCACCACACAAGCTGAGGCTGAGGGTGGCTTCGGGAAAAGGACCTGAGCAGAAAGGCAGAGCGGTCTGGGAGCACTGGAGGCGGTGCCCTATCAGGGTGCCCGGGGCCTATCCCAGCTCAGCTGTGATCAGAGGGGGGGCCTAGGGGATGTGGTGTGGCGCTGTGCTGGTGACATGTTCTCCAGGTGACTCCTTGGCACGTGGAGAAGCTTACGCTGATGGGAGGAATTCTGAACTCAGCATGACACACGTACGGCGACCTTCACGGAAGGTGGCTGCGCCTCCCCGTCTCCTCCCCACAACATGTCCTACATCATGCAGATATTTAACGTTTCTTTGCTTGTGCTTGAAATATAACCACACCCCCCTCCCACTACTGGCTGGGCTGTCCATTCCTCTTTACAGCAACTTTCTTTAAAAACAGCTTTATGGGTGCTGGGTGGCTGAGTCGGTTAAGCGTCTGATTCTATTTCAGCTCAGGTCATGATCTGGCAGTTCATGAGTTGGAGCCTGGCATCAAATTTTAATAAATTTTAAAAAGAAAATTTAAGAACAGCTTTATGAGAGAATACATACAGTAAACCATGCGTACTTAAAGCGTACAGCTTGATAAACTTTAACCCATGTATACACTACGCTGTATCAGCTTGAACACGTCCATCACCTCCAAAGTTTCCTTGTATCCCGCTTCCCCCCACCCCTAGGAATCCTACCCTCCCTGCTTCCCGCCCCCCCCAACCCCCAGGCAACCAGCCATCAGCCTTCTGTCACTACAGATTACTTGGCATTTTTCTAGAATTTTAACATAAAAGGAGTCATGCATTATTTGGACTGAGTTCTTTCACCCAGCCTAACTGATGTTCAATGCGTTGTGTGAATTCATAGTTGTATTCCTTTTTATTGTGGAGGAGTGGTCTGCTGCAGGGATGCGCCGCAATTGTTCTGTTCAGTTCTGAGGGTCAGGGTCACGGCTGCTCCTCCCCTCCCCTCCCCCTCTTGGCCTCGCTGTTCTCCCTCTTAGGCTGCCCCAGGGCTCAATCCCGGGCCTTGGGATTCCCCTGCACCCTTTCACTAGGTGGCCTCATCCAGGTCCAAGGCCCTAAATACCATCCTTGCATTGAGGACTCCTGATTATTTTATTTATATGATTTCTATTTGTGGACTCCTGATTATTTTAATCTCCACCCCAGAACTCTCCAGCAAGCCACGTGACCTCTCCTCTGGGCTATCCAACAGGAGTCCCAACCTTGACATGCCCCAAACAGAACGCCATCTTTTCTTTTAGAGAGAGAGCGCACGAGTGGTGGGTGGGGGTGGGGACAGAGGGAGAGAGACAGAGAATCTCATGCGGGCTCCACGCTCAGCATGGAACCTAATGCGGGGCTCGATCTCATGACCCTGGGATCACGGCCTGAGCCGAAATCAGGAGTCGGATGCTAGACCGACCAGCCAGGTGCCTGTGCCCCAAACAGGATTTCTTGACAAACCTGGCCTTCGCCCGTCTTATAAATGGCCCCCCATTCAACTGATACCTGACCCTCTGAGTCCTTCGTTCCTCTGCTGTTGTCTCACGTGCGAATCCGGTTTGTCACAAGTCCCTCTCTGCACAGTCACTGCACTCCCACCCCCGACACAAACACACTTGATTGTCTACACAGCAGCCAGTGTTTTTTTTTTGT